TAGAGGGTTGAGCCGATACAGGCGCAGGCGCTACTACGTCGCTTGAGACTAAAGTGCCGTCACCATTGTCTTCTAGCTCTCCTGCAGGCGTAGGTCTGATCTTTACCGTCCGAACAAGCTCAACTACCGCCGTGGTAAGATGGGAAGCAGCTGCATCAAGCAATGAAACAGGCGAGAGTCCCTTGGCCCCAGCAAAATTCTTGGATGCGGTGATCAGATTATTCGCTGTCGCCGAGAGTCTAGACTTAAGCTTGACCTGCTTCTGGGCTAATTCTGCACTACTTTGTGGTGCTTGATCGATATCTTGAGAGATTTGTCGCACGTTGATAACTACATTCTTCATGTATTCAATGACCTTTTCAGGGTCGCTAGAGCGTGCAATCTGTAAAAGCTCATCAATCGAAAGTTGGAACTTAGTAATATGAATATCCTTGATAAGACCATTCTCTGCAGTAAACCCAGTGTCTTTTGCATACTTGGCTGCATCTTGTATCGAGAGGCCAATTGAAGATGCTCTCAGGGTGCGTAGCTGCGTCTTTGTTTTTGCATATCGATTTCTCCATTCTTTGACTTCATCCTCTAATTTGTTGACCATGGTCTCTAGTTGCTCCTCGCGTTCATAAGATGCAGTGCTTCGTTCGGACAACATCCTCATTTCGCGAAGGAACTCCTGGGCTTCACTTCGAACATCCTCGGTAATTTCTTGTTGCTCTCTGAGCTCTGCTCTGAGCTCTTCGTTTTCCCGTTCCAGATCTGCATCGCCGGATCCCATGCCTTTACCAGCGTCTACAAGAGCAATTTGCAGCTCTTCAATCTGAGTCTTCAGCTCTCTGTCCGAATTGGCTTGCGACTCCCGTGCTCGGTCAATCTCTGATTGTAGAGTGTCGTTAAGATTTTGCGCATCTGCAAGCTTGTTTTCGAGATCTATTCTGAGGTCTTCCCATTCCTTTCTATCCGCGTCTGCCGATGCATCCCTCCCCCTTTGCTGGTCCATAACAATATTAAGTTCATCATCCTTTCGTTTCAAGTCATCTTCCACGGAATCAAGTCGTTCTTGAAGCTCTGCGATTTGGGATTGGTAATCATCAATGAGTTTCTGGTCGATCTGCGAAGTTAGAATATAATTAGGGAAAGAAATGGGCATTGATCTTACCTCTGAACCCCCAATACTTTTCTTACTCTCTCGGTCTCTTGCAGCTCCCTCCAATCCGAAAGCATCCCCATCATCATCATCATTATCTTCAGGTCCACTCTCATCATCTTCAACCATAGTACTTTTGTTCGGCACAATAGTGTTACTTTGAAAGGTTTTTGGTGTCGGCCGACCGTAATCATTAGGTGGTATACCAGGCGAAGGTGGGATACCCAAACTACCATTTGGACCATTTGGCGGAGCCATTCTTGAACCATTGCGTGATTCGCTTCTCTCACTTCTCCTTTCGCTTCTTATTGAATACGGACCTATAGAGCTGGCGTCTGAAGGTCGGCGCATACGGCTTGGACCTCTAGGTGGCATATCTACAGGTGTCCCATTCCCATTCCTGCTTGGAGGTCCTCTTGTAGATACAGGACTACCCATGCGACTTCTATCACCAGCAGTAAATTGTGGAAACCTTCGCTCCAATTCATAAAACACATCTGTAGCTAAATCTCTAAACCTGGGCGGTGGCAGCGTAGACAACTTCTGGCGGGCCTGATTTCGTTTCGGGTGGAACGTATTTTTCGGCAACAAGTACGGCGGAGGTCCTTGATCATTTCTCTGTCCATTGGGAGTCCTTCTCCCTGCCTGCTGCCTTCGCAGAAGTTCATCAAAGACATCAGTACTAAGTTCCTGGAATTGAACAGGAGACAATCGTAGCAACTTGTCTCGCGCTCTGTTGGGTCTAGGATTCCCCTTCTCATCTCTCAATGACGCTGCTAGGTATCGTTTCAATGAGACGTAGTGCTCTGATAGCAAGGCCTCGAATTGTTCATCTTTCTTGTCCTGCCCACTCTCGCTTCCTGCGTATAAACCTGTGCCAATACTTGAACGACCGATAGAGCTTGGAGGAGATGGATTTCCTGGGCTACCACCGGAAGGACCTCTCTGTGGGAAATCCCCTCCATTCATTGTACCGTTTGATCCGCTCGAAATCGGCGGTGAAGCAAGTTGTCCGCGATTCATCTGGTAGGGCGAATCGTTATCGTCTTGATATTTTTCAATTCCTGACCATTCGTTGTTGCTTCCTATTGAAACTGGTGACAAAGGTCCATTGCGATTGTTCATCGTAAAGTCGCGGTTATGAATGGAATGAGCAACCCTTTGGACTCGGAGGATAGATCAGCGCAACCCTTCGATTATTGAAAAACAAGAGCGAGACACCTCGAAAGCTTAATAGCTGACGGTTAAGGTGCGAGAGAATGGTATATCGTGTTATGTGATCAACACATGCGATGCAGATAATTTCAGGCTGGAACAACTCTATAGTCTCCTTGAAACGAAGTGAATTGACAAGGTCGTTCGGTCAAAGCGAGATAGCGAAGCTGAAGGATTGGAAAATCGGGGCAATGAGAATGAATGGTGGTATTTTGAGGAATGAATTCGTCTTGGAATGGTAATGACTGTGTAACTGAATTGTTGTACAGCGACAATGAATTTACCTTGAGCAGGTAGGTAGTAGGTAGGTAGGTAGGTAGGTAGATGAGGAGAACAAATAAACTGTAATATGACGTTTCTACAATTTATTCTAGAAATCGCAATTCATAGGTTACTTTTGTTGAAAGAAGAACAGAGAATTTTGTTTGTGCGTAAGAAAGTAAGTAAGTACCGTTCCAATTCCGATGCAGAAAGTAAAGTGGTGGTGAATGGATAGCTGGCTGGCTGGCTGTCTGTCTGTCTGTCTGTCTGTCTGTCTGTCTGTCTTGATGCAGGTGATAGCTAAATTCAAATTCTGAGCAATTTAGAATATATCCTGGGGATTATTATTTTTCTCCAGTTGTCCCGCCAGTCAATCAAAATAGGTCCCAAAGGTCTCAAAAGATACTTTTCTCTCCTGAATCTTGGGTTCACCAGGTTCACCAGGTTCACTTTCGCGTTTAGGCTAGTGGTAGCTGCCTTTTGCGGAATTGAATGTGGTTGGTTTGTTTTTCAGGAACGCCCGTCGCCCAGCTTCCAGGGGATTTATTAGATTGGGTCGTGGGCGGGTATTGAGATGGAAAAGAAGGCCGACAAAGATTCGATACGTGAGTAGTAGTCGATCGATAAGGAAACGGCTTGAAATTAGGGGAAATTGAGTTTGGGGATACCGGTATTATTGATCAAGTTTGTTCAATATGTGGAAAGGAAAGCTTGAAGAGTTTAGTACCTAGTATAAGAATGATTTGTAACTTGGATATACATATTTCATATGTAAATGGAGGTAGAATTTCCATATTCCATTACTTCCATCTTCTACAAGGATTCTTTGCTACACATGAACAGCGACGCGGCGTAAATGTACGAATTATGTCATGCAAACGGTGATACAAGACAATTCAAGGCGAAACAGAAATTCTGGGCAAAAGGAATATCCCCAACTTCCCGCTCTGCACTTCAGCTCAGAGTACTGACTGAGTAGCTACCTGGTAGATATACTCGAGTGTACGATTATACGAGTGAGTATACGAGATAGATAAATATTCATCAGCTCAAAATCCCGAGGCCATTAAAGATTATCAACCCAGGAATGTAATCGCAATGCATCAAATGCGATCGAGGTGCATACCTACCTACCTATCTATAGTACCTACGTAGCCAAACTCCATATGTTCATAACATCTTCCCTCCAAATCCATCCATCCCTCAACCAGGAATCCCAGAAAATCCCCCAAAGTCCGAAGATCAGATCTTTCGCATGCATCCCGAGATTTGAAAGGAAAATCCGATTCTTCCATTTTCATCATTTCCTCATTTCCATCGCCAGCTGCAGCGATCACGAGCAAGGGGAACCCGCCATACGCGGCTTCGACTTGGTCCATCCACGCGGGACCTGGTTTGGATTTTACTTAGGTGGTGCATGGGTGGATATACATATAGCTTTTGCTACCTAGTTAGGTAGGTATACGTAGATATTATCTATAATTGGAAGAATAATGAATTCAAGTATGCAATTATTCGTCTGTATCACGATGAATTCCATTCCATCTACCGTACGCAGAAATATGGGATAAGTTATGTTACACCGCTTTTATTTTGTCACCAATAGAATCATTCTGCCTATACAAACTAATTCTGGCTAATGAAGGCGGTATAATTTATTAAATTATAAAATATCACACACATAACACATAACACAAATCCCCATATACCTCCCTTAAAACACCACACAACAAACAACAAACCTCAAACCCATCATACTCACTGTCAATCACAAATACAAGCCCAATATTCCCCCGTAGAAAAGACAGAGAAGAAGGCGTTTCAACCTATTTCAAGAAGTATCTCTGCAAAAAAATGTCGCTACATAATACCTTACCTTACCTTACATACCTAATAAACCCGGTCATTCGATTTCGATTAATCCAAGTGCCAATCTTATAGAATAGAGTCCTTTTCTGCTTCTAGATTTATCCCTTCTTCCATAAGTTCTAGACTATGGAGTAGAATTTTGCGAACTTCATTTAGCCTCTGGACGTTTTCAATCATTGGCCCCCCATACTCATCAATCTAATCCCAGTATATCAATTTCCTTGGCCTGTCTCTTTATTTCCCTTTAAGCACGCTTCAAGCACAGCCATGTTCTACGTATTAATTTCAACGGCTTCTAGGTCACCGGTCATTAGTATGTGAGTAGGTCATCATGCTAGGTACGAATCTGAACAAATGCATTATGCGATCGCGAGTGATATCAAGTATTTTATTCCTCTATCTTTCTTTCTGAGAAGACGCCCATTCATATAAAATCCCCGCCCTGAACGCCACAAGAAATGGGTATACCCTTCGTAATCTCAACGCCACTAAAAGAAAATCGTAATGCAAGTGTTCAAAACCATGCTAATGTCCATACTGCTGGTAGATTTGGCCATCTTTCCTGCCACTCTCCGATGATTTCCGGAACTCTTTCATCAAAGCCGGCCCTGCTATGGGCACTACCACTGTCAAACCCGGTAGGGTTGAGTTCCCTTTCCTCGGCAGCAGCCTTATTGAGGGAATCGGCAAGGTCAAGAATTCCCCTGCCGCCGACTAGAGCCTCTTCATGATTATCTTTGATATCAACATTGATGACATGCACTGGACGATTTAATGGGGAGCCACGATTGAGGAGGTCATCCACGACAGCATCCCAGCATCTTTCTTCACAGGTAATAACAACGTCAACAACACCCCCTTCTACTCCTTCGGCACCTTGATCTGTATTATGTTGTAGTCTTGGAACGCCGACTTGCCAATCTTGCCATCTCTCTGGCCCCCATTTTACTGATCTATTCCGCCCAAGCATATTCAAGATACCATTCGCGCGATAGAGACGCGGATCTTTAGATTCGAGTTCTTTATACATGCTATCATACGAAGTCTTGTTGAATTGGTAGACATTAGGTTGTGTTATGGAAGGTCCTGGCAATCTAACTAAAGAACCTGTTCCAAATGATATTACAGGGTAGTGAGCAGCAGCGAGACGTAAGTGTGATTCCATGGATCTGTGAGAGAATCATGTTAGATACAAACTGGAAGACATATGAGATATATTGAGTGTACCTATTGTTGTTGCTGGCACAAACAGTGCAGAATTTTAGTTTGAAGCCTCCCGAATCTACTCGTTCACCGTTTGACGCGAACTGAGATGTGCTACCGCCATTGGCAGTCGACACCGGAGCTTGAGACATGACTGTTGATGAATTGTAGTTGTTGTAAAATTATTATAACCTAGATATTTGCGGGGACAGAAGAAATTCGGCCACCTTTCGTCTCGACACGGGGTTCAAACTTCCAATGGTACCGAATTCAAGTTGTGGATATTACTGCAGAAGCTATGTTCAAAGTCAGCTACGTGTCAACACGCACAAATGTATGTGTTCTCATAAGCAGATCTATTTTGAAGAGCATTCAGATATTGTTAAGTTGCGTAAATAAAAATTGTGTCATCAGTTTTTAATAAGACAGCTCCAATAATAGGAATCATCAGGTTGCTACAGCGGGATGAGGGAGGAAGGGAGAAAAGAAGAAAGAAAGAAGACCAAAGAAGATATTGGTTTCTTTCAGGATATTGTACATACCAAACATTTCAGATTCTACTGCAAAGTTTCAAGTAGAGTGAGAATCGCAAGAGACATTGATTCAAGTCAAATCAAGAGTGATGTTGACGATAATGGTGTTGTATGATTGATTGTAATGTTGTACAAGTACAGCCGTAAAACATTGAAGAGCTTGAAAGCTTATTAATAATGAAGCTAAGAAAATTTTCGGTTAAGAGAGAGAAAGATTGAACCAATGATATTGAATTATGTTGAATAGCGTGCCATCCTGCTTAGCTCTTACGGAGAGTAGCACGTACAAGGTATATAATACTACTAGCTCGCTAAGTAGGTATCTAGGTATGGTATCGTAGCATCCAAAAAGATGAGCCAACTAGAAAGCACATGCTGATCAACTACTTCGTACTTGCAGCTTGTGGCACCCAGGTGCATGTTTACATCAATTTGGAGTTTGATTCTGGACATATGATTGGTTCTTCTGCAAGTCTGAAACGTTGAAACGGAACTTGGGAAGAAAAAAACGATCATTACCATGATTACCTACGTGTTACCGAAATAGAAACAGAAATGGAAATGGAAATGGAAATTATTCTGTAAAGGCATCAACGGAAAAGCCCACTCATCTCAAATTGATCAATCACATCAACAAGAAGCGGACTTTCCAACCCGAAACCGAAGAGAGCGCATGTATTCTCCATACCAAGTGACTTGTAAGCCACTCAACTCAACAACGAAATGAAAAGGTCAAAAAGAGTGAGGTGTGATGAGAGATGAGAGAAGAATGAAGAATGGAGATCGATGAGCGATGAGTGAACACACACATGTCTTGAAACTTCTATAATATATGCTTTGCCCTTACCTACTTCTCTCGATTATGATCAACCTTCCCAGCTTCTTCTAGGTATGGTATTGTACTCCGTTCAAGCTGGAGAGAGGTAGAAACGCCTTTGTATGACTTACCATTATCACTTTAGTACAAACTTCAAAACCCCAATCTTCTTCTTTTCCTTTCCTTTCTTTTTCCGATTTTTCCGTCTCTTTGCTCTTGTACTCTGGGGTAAATCTATCTGTACATCGATCGTATAACTCTTTTGATTCGAATTCGAATTCGAATACCTGCCTCTCCCTCCCTACCTATGTTCACAGTACCACCGTTTTCCTCCATCTTACCATCCACTCATACATCCCAGACTGCTATTTGCATACATTCATTGCCTAATTTCCATGTCAAATACTCGAAGTGTGCGGGGTCCCTTGTCGAAATCCACCCAAGAGAATTTTGAAAAAGGACCTCGAGCCTTGAACCCTCGGCGCTTCGTAGACAACTCACGCAGCTTCAAAGGAACTTCGCCTTAGTCATTTTACTTAGAGCGTTAATTCAAAGCAAAGCATCCCTTCGGCGCAAAGACTACTCTGTCGATTTGTGAATCTTCAAAGTCAACAATTTCCTGCATCTGCAATTCCAGAGACTCCTTTCTTTGCTCTTTGCTTCATTGTTTCGTTGGAGCCCTGTTGGTTTGTAATTGGATACCTTGAAAGTTGAAGGGAAAAGGTCTGACAATACGCACGAGCTTCCTCTGATCTTTTTTAACATTGAATTCGAACTCCAATCAACCTATACGCTCACACAAGTTCACAACCCACCTCAATTATTGACAAGCGCTATCAAGAATTTGACATTCGTCCCCTCAGTATTTATCCTTTTGCAACTGCGCGCCTGCCGCGCTAGCACCAACTCGTTTGAACGACTATCTAACATTCCTAATATACATCGTCGACGATACCTTTCTCCGTCTCATACTCGACATAATTGAAGTCAACCTCGGGCTTGCTCTAAGCGCTAGGGCCATTAGATCCTCCCTTCAATCTCAAATCTTGAACGGCAAGTGACTGTCTTTCTGCCGGCCTTCTTACTGCGAAATATAACGGCAAGCTTGCTGGGCAAGTAATTGTTCATATTGGGCCCATTTGTCTGAACCAAAGCATACAATTTTGTCCTCAAAGCGCAGCCTTCAAGTTGATCGCAAACACATTTGCTTCAATATGGCAGCCGTAATTTCTCCAACGTCTCCAGCTACGTCCCCACCACCAGTTAGTTCTCCCTCATCGAATCCTAACCATCCTTCCCTCCCACCTTTAAACACTTCACCAACCGCAAAGCGACCAATTCTGCAACGTCCTACATCTCATGCCTCAAAGAATAGGTTATCACAATACTCGAATTATTCTGCGCCGTCACGTTCGCGACCTCCTTCACATATCTTTCCAGTCTTTCATTCTAGCCTTTCATATACAACAGTTCGCGATTTCGCATACCCTTCTTTGCATCCTATGCACTATGGACCGCCTCTAGAGCCGTCCCAACCGCCATCGGGCCTCTCGACACCAGCTAGCGAGTCGCATAAACGATTGTCAGACCCTCCAACTTCATGGGATAATCGCGGATCTTGGGGACCTGGTCCATGGGGTGGTGATGGATTTATGAAAGGGGAACAATTGGCGCCTATACATTTTGGTGATGGACCACCATGGAGTGAAGATGAGGATCTACAAAGCCCGGTTGTCGTTAGTTCACGCCACAGGAAGCACAAATCGTCAGTGGGAGAATACGGAGGACATTCGCGTGGGAGAGGGAGAACGCCCAGGGATGGGGAGCGCAGAACAAGCATGCTAAGTCAAGAGAACTTTGAGGACGACGGAGGATATTTTGCCGGTGGGGGTGGTGATAATAGCGAAAGATATTATGTCAATGAAGGAGAGGAGGCAGATGGACCTGGTGGAGAATATGTTACATACCCCTCGGAGTTGGCAAGACGCTCAATGTTAGCGCCGTATAATGTTCCAGGTCAACGAGATTCCCACTTCGCTGGCCTTTTACCCAGTCGCTCATATACAGACGAGAGTGGCCAAGATTACCGCTCGGAGTCTGATGCTTCGAGTACTGCATCATCGCCCGGCATGACTAGACATGATGAATCGAGATATTCTCGTGATTATCAGTTTACAATTGCCTCGCCGGACGAAGAGATGCATGGTAAAGCCGTTGCATTATTTGACTTTGAACGAGAGAATGAAAATGAATTGCCTTTGGTGGAGGGACAAGTAATTTGGGTCTCATATCGACATGGCCAAGGTTGGCTTGTCGCAGAAGATCCCAAAACACAGGAAAGCGGTTTGGTTCCTGAAGAATATGTTAGGCTACTGAGAGATATTCAAGGAGGCTTAAACAGTTTAACAGGACAAGTTGAGCTTTCTAGTCCCGTGGGAGGTGACTCAGGTACACCTACTCAAGCGGAACACAACCAAGCATTCGGACACAACCCAAGTTCGAGTAATGGGAGCAATGGGTATCAACAACCTGTAGTATCTACCTTCTCAACATCCTCTAAAGATTTACACCTATATCCTCAACATCTTCTGGGAACACAGGCTGGTCAAGCTCCACCTCAAGTTATACATTATCATGGGCAACGAGGTGGCAGTCAAGCCAATACGCCTACTATACCTAGCTCTCATGAGGGTCTCATAGAACGACCTAGTAGTCGAGAAGCTAAAAATGGGCAGCTTGAAGAGCAGTCGAATAGTAATACAGCACCTATTGAATCCACTCATATAGATCCGGAAGTAAAGCTCTCACCATCAGTCGCCGTTCAAGACGCCGAAACTCCCCTCGATTCTTCTAATGATACAACAAACGAGACACACGAAACTTCGGCTCGATAACCCAAGCTCAAACATACATTGCTCACGAGTATTATGAATTAGTAGGCGAGATGGAATATGAATTTCGGGTGGGATTCTTCGGATTTTGATAGTGATACCAGTTGATTGGATGGATGTGTGTGCCATATATGATACGTTATTATAGGAATTGAATTGAATTGAATTGAATCCATTGGGAGATTGGGAGATTGGAATGGATTATCTAGATTTTCTAGAAAGGGAGTGCAAAGGAAAAGGAACTTTCTGATATGTCTTATTTCTGTGTCTGTGATGCTATGTAGGAGTAGGATGAATTGGGAAAGGAAGGGAAGGGAAGGAAATTCTAGGGGCTGGTGGATTAGCATGATTTTGATGATGGATGAATGAATGGATGGATGGATGGATGGATGAACGGATGGGGTCTAATGATGCATTTTTTGATAGGAAGAATTATGCTATAACGTTTTTATGTGTTCATGTTTTACGTAATTTTTTTTGGTCCGTGTGTTTGTATTGTACTTTATTGTTTTGAGTATGAGTATGCGTATGGATCTATATACTTGTACTCTTTGATGCATCTTAAAATTGTTGTATATATACCTATACTTTTGAAGGGGGTGTGGGTGTGGGTGAGGGAGCAAGAAGAGGAAAGAGGAAATAAATCCATGACTCGGATATTTGAATATCTATTTAGATAGCTAGGTATCCAGGGAGTACTTTTTTCTCTCCTCTCGTTTCTGATGCGTTTTTGTGAAGTGGATGCGAATGCGAATGCGAATGCAGATGTGATTGGGTACTGGGCACTAGGTATTGCATACCGCGTAGCTCGTAGCTCGTATGCGTGTGGTTGGTTAGTGAGTAGCGATTCCTGGGTGAGTGAGTAGATATAGGTACCTAGTAGCCACTAGACTTGTTTCAGGAGAAGAAGAAATATTGGGGGTTTTTTAAGGTATTGGATTATTGGATTATTGGGCTATGGGACTATGGGGATTTCAGATCATGAGATGAGATGGATTCCCTACTGACTTTGGACTTAGATTTGGACTTGGATTTGGCTTTGGACTCGGGGGATGAGAAATGAGAGATGAGAGATGAGAGATGTATATTATATTGTGGTTATCTAAAGATATGGGATGGGTGGTATATATATGTATGTACATAGATATATATGAGAGAGAGAGAGAGAGAGTATGTGTGTGCGTATCTGCTTGTGCTTATTGAAGTGTGATCTAGTCATATTTCTTGTTTTGCTTGATAGATAGGTAGGTAGGTAGGTAGGTAGGTAGGTAGGCAAGTAAGTAGGTGAATGGATAAATATATATTAAACTTATCATTTTCTTGATTTCCTTTGTTATATATTTCGCTGGCTGTGTATTTTGGATATTGCTTGTTGATTTTTTGAGGGGAGAGCGTGGGTTGCGGAATACAGTTGGAGGGATAGGGTAGGAGGTGCAGAGATGGAGAGGTGGATCGATGGATATGGATGGAATCTGAATTTTAGATGAGTGGTTTGGTTATTAGATGTTAGTCGTATCTACTCCCTTAGGTCGATTAATGGAGATGGATACTAAGAGAGAAGAAGAGAGAGGGAGGGAGATGGGGGAAGACATAATGAGATAGACTCTATCCACATGTATATACATCTTGCACATCCCGAAACAGTAAATCAAATTAGCATATTTACAAAGGTAATGAGTGATAGATAGAGAGAAGATAAGAATATACATCAGTAATCTAATACCCATCTAATATCTGATACATCATATCCATCCATCTACATGGATAGCTACAACACAACACATAACATACAAAACACAACATACACCTACTCAACTTTGAGATTCTGCTATACATCCTAGATTCTGACTAGATATTTAGCTAACTACTTCTTTAACCCTGATATTGACATTGATCTTGATCTTGATCTTGAATATTGAGGGAGCATTTGATTTTTGCCGGGGTTCTCAGTCTAGCTACCATGTACCTAGTAGACGAGAAAGAGAGGCATCTCCTTTTCTTTTCGCTTGAAGATATCTATATACCCGGTACATTTGTAGTATATACAAAGGTACCTATGCATTTATGAATTGGCGTAAGCATATGATGATGAAAATCTGTTATCGGGGCCTGAGATTTCTAATATTGTGATAAGCGGATGAGCTAAACGTATGATAGATTTACATGACTTCTATATTTTTCATCTTGATCAATATGATGTTATGCCAATAACCTGAGTAGTTATCTTTTCACGCCATCATAAGGGAAATTTCGTGGAGAGGGAAGAGACAAGGAGATTGTGGTACTACATGATTCAAGGTTGCAATTTGAAAAGTTGTAGATAATGTTGTGATATCTGGTTGATATTTCTATGATTTTAATTTTTTTTAAATGGTATGTTTGCAATACAGTGACTTCCCCTTCATAAAGAAGGTTATTGAAGTACGGACATTGTACTCGGTGTCACCACCTGAGATACTTGCATGATTTTGCTTTCAGCACATCTTCGGCACAACCAACAGTCATTGAAAAAAGACCGAATTGTAATTTGACATCCGTGCTAGATCTTCCCTCAATTGCTAAACCTTCTTACTTGATTGACTTCCTCTCCAGTCACACTCACAACTTTGACACCTTTCAAACCCAGCTTCATAGTCTTCCATGATTTGGGATCAACGGCCCGAGTTCCCTCTTCCAGAATGAAAGTTTTGAAACCTTCCGCCGCGGAATCCTCGGCAGTGCACTTGACACAATAATCGGCAGCTAGACCTACTACGTAGACATGGGTTATTCCCTCATTTTTCAAATGGGCTGCTAATCCACTATCACTACACCGAGGACTCTTCAAGGGATCGTAAAATGCCGAATACATTTCTACATCGGGATTTTGTCCCTTGAGAATAGTTTGGGTAAACTTGGTTGTGTCCAATTCAAATGGGAACTCGGAGCCGAGCGTATCCTGAATGCAATGAGGTGGCCAGAGACGTGTCTGATACGTCTCGGAAGGATTGGATGGGTTGGTGATCGTGGTAAAATCTGCAAATGGCTGTTTACCTGCATGGTTTGAAGCAAAAGATGTATGATTTGAAGGATGCCAATCTTTGGTGGCGACCTTGAGGTGAAATGGAAGACTGAGGAGGCTATTGATGATAGGAATCGTATCTCTACCATTGGTCACAGCTAAAGAACCATTCTGAAGACTTGTTAGTATGAATTGATGGATGGATGAAAGAAGAGTGGAGTTGGTCGGAATTGTAACTTACTGGAGGTAAAAAATCCTCTTGAAGATCTACAACAATTAGAGCAGGCTTGAAAATGGACGCATCAGAAGTTGACATGATAGTGTTAGTTGAATAGATACGATGGATATTTGATGTTGATTGAATTGAACTGATGTGATGTAACAATGTAACACCAGTATCGATTGTTGGTGAAGTAACTATCGGCAAAATAGATTAGATTCCCAAAGTTTATTCTTATCCGACAAAGTATGAACCAACTTGTGGTCTGTTTTGAGATTGTATCAGTAGTAACAAAAGATAGAAGTTTGACATCAACCCCACCAAGAAAACATCTGCATTGATGATGAAAAGGGTTTGATGCCAATACATACCAATAGTGGTATCATGTGATTTAGTCTTGATAGTAGTCATGGTAGAAGTTCTTGATGGAAGGAAGAGAAAGGAGCTGGAAGGGACGGTAGAAAGAGGAAGCTTATTTCAATTCCCGATACGGACAACTGATGCTGATTTGTCGGGACGGGACATTAGCCAATATTATTAGATGATTGGCTCAGAACTTCTGATATCTGCTTGATGAATTGGTCAATGAAAAGAAAGAGACTTGTTCCTGCAGAAGAGACGTCTTGGACAGGACAACAGACAGTCGGAACAGCTGTCCAGCGTGATGAGCCCTTGAGTCTTTTTTGTTTTATATCTGGATCCAGTGAAAACTCATAGCATACTCGGTAGACTTGGGTAGTGGTCGATGGATTGGTTTGTGTAGGATGAAGAAGAGATACCTATACCTATACCTGGTAGATATAAGAATGAATGTGTGAGAGTAAAGAGTCAAACACAAACACAAGAACAAGAACAATATAAAGATGGGATGGAAGGGATGGAAGAACAATATGAAGGATCTGAGAGAAAGAAATTGAATCTTTTTCCGTGGTTTGAATTGAATTGAATTGAATCGAATTGAATTGAAATGAAAAAGATTTCCCAAAAGATCGACTTTTCTCATTTCCTTTATCACCAACCATGCTTGATACCAACACTAATCCCTTTTCGACCTAACTCGCGGATAGTGTCACCGCCTAACTAATGATTAATTTGATCCCTGATTGACAAGCAAAAAGTCAACAAATATCTCGAGGTTCCTTTCCATTATGGAGTCCCTTCTTTCTTAAAGCTTAAACTCTCGCAGTGGATTTTTATGTGATAACTATTACTTGAACATTACATGACAATCAATCTCCATTGCGTCCTTTGATCCCTTTCTCTTGGTCACACAAATCAAGATATCCCACCTCTAGGAGATATTGTGCCACTTCTATCTTTGCTTATATCTCTTCTTTTTTGCTCGGTCTCAACACCAGCACATCACTCCTTTTTTCCTTTTCGAAAGGTATCTCATCGCCATTCTTGGAGTTGTAGAGACAGATAACTTCAAAAGCACACTGGTAAGTTGCAATCTCTTACACGCCATGCATTTACCTCAAGAAATGTCGATTGTGCGAGCTTTCTTTCCCGTCAGCTTCGCACATGAGAGCGCGGGAGTTTCGTTCGTCTTGGGTCTATCCCCAGCTTTGCTCATCTGCTCGACACACGCTTTTGGCTCATTTACTAACGGGTTCTTCACATCCAGCCTTAACAGAACTACATACTTCCCTTGTCGATGGCTCTGATTTAGATTACAACTAAGCCTGCTTGTACTTCTTCCACGATGATCGGAAATTCGTTCCTACCCTCGCGGTTCAGGGGAGCCTCGTCTACCACTGAAACCAATGCCTCCCCAATATGGCTCAATAAAAAGGTCACCCCACTTCTCCAGCTTCTCTCCCGACGAGCATGTCTACATCCAATTCATACTATCGTTATAGTTGCGGTTTTGGCGAGTACAACATACATGGGACTTTTGGACAGCAGTCTCTTTGATTCGGTGAAAGCCAGTGGTGCCGATAAAGCAACATGGAGCTCTCTCGTTGCTGGTAACCGTCAACTGCAGATTAGTTCCGAGACTGCCTGGAAATGGCAGACCTCGGATGCGGAAATTGTGCCATCTCACGTTGATCACTTGGCACTTTTGACTTTCGTCTTCCCAGACTCTGCTGCTGCCAATTCTTTGCAAGCAGCCCCATTAGCGGATTCAGTGCCATTACCACAAAATCTTTCAGTCACTCCTCTTCCAACAACTTCGAACCCTCTGGCTTCCTTGTCACAAGACAGTACTTTAGCTTTTGCTCTTCCCTACAATCAAGCCCCTGAATTCCTCGCCAGATCTCAAGAGTTGCCCAATTCCGCTGCTACAATTCCCACCGGTCCCAGCGCTCGCCAAGGACAGGAGGCAGAGCTCATCAAGGAGAAGAAGATGTGGATCATGAAAGCTGCAAAGGGAGATGAAACCAAAGGAGGATTGAGAAAATGGGCATCAAACGCTTGGACTGAATTTGTAGACCTTCTCAAGAATGCCGAGACACTTGACATCATCATTATGGTACTCGGTTACATATCGATGCATCTTACCTTTGTCTCATTGTTTGTTTCCATGAGGCGTATGGGATCAAACTTTTGGCTTTTTGCTACCACGCTCTTCTCATCGGTTTTTGCCTTCCTCTTCGGGTTGATCGTCACTACAAAATTGGGTGTTCCCATGAACATGGTGTTGTTGTCGGAAGGTCTTCCTTTCCTCGTTGTGACTATTGGATTTGAGAAGGCTATTGTCTTGACAAAGGCCGTTTTGTCGGCGTCACTCAATACCCAAAGACCTAATGCTGAAGTGGCAGAAAAGAAGCACGGCGTATCTCCTGCTTCCATTCAATATGCAGTCCAAGTTGCTATAAGCGATAAGGGATTCGAGATTGTCAGGGATTATGCCATTGAAATTTGCATATTGATCGCGGGAGCTGCTTCTGGCGTCCAGGGAGGTCTTCAGCAGTTCTGTTTCTTGGCTGCCTGGATTCTATTCTTCGACTGTGTTCTCTTGTTCACTTTCTATACTGCAATTTTGAGTGTTAAGCTTGAAATTAACCGAATCAAACGTCATGTTGCTCTACGCCAGGCATTGGAAGACGACGGAGTTAGCCCACGAGTAGCTGAGAACGTTGCCAAAAGTGACGACTGGCCCCAGGCTGACGGTTCCAAGACTAGCGAGACAAACATCTTTGGCCGTGAGGTCAAGGGTAGCAGCATCCCAAAATTCAAGGGGTTGATGGTTTCTGGGTTTATCATTATCAATGTTCTTAACCTCTGCACTATCCCATTCCGAGGCGGGAACAGCAGTATTCAATTCCCAGGTGCAAACATGCTTTCCGGGTCTAGTTTCTCAAGTGTCTTGACACCACCGCCAATGGATCCCTTCAAAGTTGCATCAAGCGGCTTGGATATGATTGCCGAGATGGCAAAAGCCCATGATAAGTCAACAATTGTGACAGTACTTACGCCAATCAAATATGAGCTCGAGTATCCTTCAATTCATTACGCTGAACCAGCACCTAAGCATCGTAAACATGCTGCGGATGACTTTGATGCTGAATTTGCCGAATATGGAATGGGTGGTCGAGTTGTGGACAATCTTTTGAAGAGTTTTGAGGACCCCGTTCTTTCTAAATGGATCGTTGTCGCTCTCACATTGAGTGTTGTGCTCAATGGATATCTTTTCAATGCCGCTAAATGGAGTATTGGTAAGGAACCACTTCAAATGCCCCCACACCACACTGTTGATCCCAAGGAGCTCGACCAGGCTGAGAGATTCAACAACTCTGCGTCTACCCCTGTATTGAGGTTGGCAAATATCGATCCTAATGCTTCCGATAATGTACCATTGACCCCCGCGAGAACGCCGGCTATAACGCCGGCTTCTACTGACGACGAGGACGAGGGATTAACTATGCCTGACAAGAGTACCACTCAATCTCAATTGCGCCGAAGTCAGCAAGAGCTTGAAAAAATGCTCGAAGCGAAACGTGCACCAGAGTTGAATGATGCGGAGCTCATAGAGTTATCCATGCAAGGCAAGATTCCTGGCTACTCGTTAGAAAAAACTCTTAAAGATACCACTCGTGCTGTGAAAATCAGACGTGCCATCATCTCACGAACCCCTGCTACCTCGGAAACCACACATCTTCTCGAAACTTCATTGTTGCCATACAAGCACTACAACTACGATCGTGTTCTCGGCGCCTGCTGCGAAAATGTCATCGGTTATCTTCCATTGCCTCTTGGTGTTGCTGGTCCAATTGTCATCGATGGACAAAGTTTCTTCTTGCCTATGGCTACGACTGAAGGTGTTCTTGTCGCAAGTACTAGTCGTGGCTGCAAGGCCATCAACTCTGGTGGTGGTGCTGTCACTGTCTTGACTGGTGATGGTATGACTCGTGGCCCATGTATTGCTTTCGAAACTCTTGAACGTGCAGGAGCCGCCAAGGTTTGGCTTGATTCCGAAGCTGGTCAGCAGACTATGACCGAAGCATTCAATTCTACCAGTAGATTCGCAAGACTTCAATCTATCAAGACAGCCTTGGCAGGTACGAATCTCTACCCTCGTTTCAAAACCACCACCGGAGATGCAATGGGAATGAACATGATCTCAAAGGGTGTTGAGCACGCTCTGAAAGTTATGTCTACTGAATGCGGCTTTGACGATATGGAAATCATTTCCGTCTCGGGTAACTTTTGTACCGACAAGAAAGCTGCTGCTGTTAACTGGATCGATGGACGCGGTAAAAGTGTTGTTGCTGAAGCAATTATCCCTGGTGATGTCGTTCGCAAGGTTCTCAAGACTGATGTAGATGCTTTGGTCGAACTGAACATCGCCAAGAATCTCGTTGGAAGTGCAATGGCAGGTGCTATGGGTGGTTTTAATGCTCACGCTGCTAATATCGTCGCTGCAATCTTCTTGGCTACTGGTCAAGACCCCGCACAAGTAGTCGAGAGCAGTAGTTGTATCACACTCATGAAGAAGTAAGTTGCTTATATTGAAGTCCAATGAAATATTGACTAACATTCTACAGTCTTCGCGGTAACTTGCAAATCAGTGTTTCCATGCCTTCTATCGAAGTTGGTACTTTGGGCGGTGGTACTATTCTTGAGCCTCAAAGTGCCATGTTAGATCTTCTTGGTGTTAGGGGCTCTCACCCAACGAACCCTGGTGACAATGCCCGCAAGCTTGCACGTGTAATCGCCGCAGCTGTCTTGGCTGGTGAACTTTCTTTGTGTAGTGCTTTGGCAGCTGGTCATCTTGTACAGAGTCATATGGCACATAACAGAAGTGCCCCAGCCACAAGAGCCAATACCCCGGGCCCAGCAAGTGGTGTGCAAACACCAGTGACTGCAGCAATGACAGCCATGCGAGAGAGAGCTGGTGTGGCTGCCATGTCTCCGGCTGCTGTCCTCAGAAATGGAGGAGCGAAGAAATAGGAGATAGTATTTAATGTATAGGTATAGAGAAATGCGATTGCATGAAAATAATGGCGTTAGGGTGTGTTCATAGCAACGGGACTGTGTTTTCAATGATATCTAGCGGAGGCTTATGATACGTGTATTTCTTTTTCGCTTATGGAACACTTCTTGCTTCTCATATTTGAACTTTCGTTGAATGGACTCAGATATAGAAGAGTTGTTAGATATTTTAGATTCAAATGAGACTCGATAGTCACCAGCTTGATTTGCGATTCGTCAGTACTGCACTATTGTCTTTGACTCATTTCTGATCGGATTCGACATTTGCGACAAAAACTTTTAACCTTCCCATCTTTTTTCATCACTTTTTTCATAAAAAGGTTCAGTGATATGCATGCATACGTGTGTTCGAAGCATTAATTAATTTGATTCCGCTATTGCTCTCGCTCTTCCTCTTCTACGCTAGTTTATATTCAGCAAACACATTATTAAGTATATACTTAAGAGCATCCAAGCCCTCCCAACCCAGAGATTACCTCGCTTCATCTAATGAACATTTTCTCTCAACCCACTCGTCCTCAAACTATGTCCTGCCATGACCAATGGCTCCTTTTGAATTTGACCATTATGCGCTGCCTGTGCATTTCCATTTCTAGCACCATTTTCCATGCCCGATCCAAGACCGATTTCCCCATTTCCATGCTCCAATGCCTTTCTCACCGCATCACCGACCCCCGTCGTGACCGCGCTATCTTGGCTTCCCCTTCTACTTCCTCCTCTGATGGTTCCAGCACCTCCAATTAGTAATCCTTTGACCCCGCCTCTTTTCCTTTCTGGTAATTCTTCGGAGCCTGCGCTACAGACGTACAATAGGTATTTTAGATTCGGGACTGTTTGTCTGATGTCTAGGACACGGAGACCCTGAGATTCGGCTAGTGCTTCGATGTTTTTGTTCAGGAGAAATACGCCCCAGTCGAAGCGAAAACGAATGACAGATTGGGGATAGAGGGGGAAAATTCTTTGCCGGTCTTGTACGAGGGATATAGGGTCGTGGATAAGAGATCGAGAAGCATGTGGTGTGATGGGGTAGGGGAGTGGAACTCCTAGATAATACTGGAGATGATTGACCAATTGCGCGACATAGCCTAGAGCGGCGGCTACGACATCCTCGTCGGCAGAAGAGACATTATCGTCATCAGTGGTGTTTGGGAGAGGGAGACCGCAGATTGTGAAAAGAAGAGGGTGAGAGGTGGGCTCGATGGGGTATATTTCGATGAGTTCTTCACAGAGGCGACGACGATGATCGCGAATAAGCGACTTTGTGTTTATGAGGAGAGTACGGGAATTGTTGAGATGTTCCTGGGCATTTTGAACGTCAGTCTCGGCGGCAGACTGGACGGCATACCCGGAGGAAATGGCGGCGCGCCGTGAAGATATAGATGTTTTTAGATCGTGCTGACGAGTTTGGGATTGGTGGAGGAGTTTACGGGATGTGGTAACATAACGTTTGGCGAGAGCGAGGGACTCTTTAGCAACTGGAATATATGTTGACGGAGAAGTATTGTCAGTAAGTATGTTGTTTATCTGAGAAGTCAGTTGTTCGCGGGTAGCCAAGGCATCTTGGATGGATTCATCGAGATTTGAGAGGCGCATCAGTGCATTGTAGGAGGATGTGGGGAGCGCAATGCTAGGCCTTGGTCGAGGTGGCTTGGAAGTAAGATCAATGGTATATATGCCGTCTACGAGCTGGAAAATAATAGAATTGGATGGGAAAGGGTGATTCTCCAATCGCCCTAAGAATTGCAACGACTGAAGATTGACTTCCTCTTCGATCAATGGAACGAAATCCTGTCGTTTAACCCATATCTTTACAATAACAGTATCGAGTCGCGTTGTCGCAGGACCAAAGGAAGACAAATCGAAGGATCGAAACGTAGGATTCATTGCCTTCTCTACAACCTCGCTGATATATATCGGATCATCCTGTCCCTCGCAATGCAATGTGAAGAAGCTATCTGCCATTCGACTATCCCTTACATCCTCCAATTTCTTCTGTCTTATAGACGGACTTGCCCCTACCCAATTGGAACTTGATCTCCTGGTTCTTGCAGAAGGTCGTAAATCCCCCGATGATTGCGCATGATGCAATTGCGACTCGCGGCGCAAAGCCTCGAGCTTCTGTGGTGATTTATTTAGACCTGCATCGTCGATTGTTTTTCCCCGCGGACGAGAAAGAGTCAGATTCCGGACGTATATGCCTTGTAAGTGCCGTAGTTTCCGATTTTGAGGTAGAATTAATGGCCGCGAAGCCTCGGAACTCATATTGTTGATGATATGGTTTCATGAAGTTGGTTGATGCTGTCTATTCGCATTAACTAAAGATGGTTGTCGAGACCGAGCCTTGACCAATTAAAACAAGGCTGCTATTCAGCCTCGTCATCGATGGATCTTTACACGAACCATCATGCATGTGCATGTTGGTTGATTTTCAACATTGCTACGATATCGATCGATTGCGCTAAATTGATTTGTTTTCCTAGTTCTGATGTATGATGGTTCAAATGAGATTTATATCACATCTCTGTCCGCATTGAGATCTCAACACCGTGGAGGTCATCCAGCATTCCTTTTGTCAAGTGGTTCAAGTGGCTGTATGCTCCCATGCTTCTAAAATAACAAATTGCTCCCAGCGTTAGCTTCGAAGAGCCATATTCGTTTCATTCTTGAGGCCAGCAAGCTGCCATGGTCCACAACTCAGTCATCTCGTACAGTTTTGCAAATCGAACTTATGCTATAAAAATGCACTTGCCCCTCTTCCATTTCTTACATTGCTCTCCTAAGCGAATTCAAATGCTTCGGTAATTCTTTCTCGCCCTGGGCCCTAAGATTTCCCTCTTTCTTGCACCCTTCTTCGGTCAAGTATTCGTTATTAGTTACACCAGGGAGAGTGAGAAACTATTTTCAGAAATATTTAGATGTATTTTCCGTAGTAGGGAAAATGGTAATGAGATTTAATGTCACGGAGTGAAGGTATCAAAAAAATGTAGGAATCGAATAGTTTCAATCAATACTGTAAACTATGAAGAGAGAAGAGCTGGGTTGCAAAAGGAATCTGTATTTAGACCCTCCTCCTTAGCCCCTGATCGCGTCAAACGCTGGTCTGAATTATTCAACAGTACGCGATATACCATTTGCATCTGCCAAGGTTGTCCAAAGAAGTGACTCTGGAAAATGGGTTTTGATAAACTCAGTCCCATGCGATCCCGATGGCGATGTCAATTTACAAATGCAAGATGCGAGAGAGCTGGCGAGAAAGCTTTCTAATACAGATCCATTAGACCTATGTGTACTTCAGTGTCAAGGTGTAATTCGGGCCATAAAACTCGGCAATAGGAAGCCATCTTCTTTTGAGTTTATCTTCCGAATCCCTCAAGAGCTCAGTGATGAGCCCAAAAGTCTTCGCGATTATCTCTCATCACAGATCAGCCATACTCTTACGGACCGATTCAGAATTGCAAACCAGTTAGTCAAGTCTATCAGCTATATGCACACTCTTGGATTCGTACACAAGACCATCCGCCCTGATACTATCCTTGAATTCCAAGACAAAAACTCGGTCCTTGACTCAATTTTCCTGGTAGGTTCTCAAAACTTTCGCATGGCCGATGGTTGAACACGGCGATCAAGAAACTCTGCATGGGACACAAACCTCTACCATCATCCGCATCGTCAAGGCCCGAGTCCCGAAGAAAGTTATATTATACAGCATGATATCTATAGCCTGGGCGTTGTTCTTCTGGAGATTGGTACATAGGAATCACTCGTTTCTTGCAAGAATATTGAAACAGCTCCGACTTACAACCGAAAGAGTTATATGGCAATGTATGAGAATGAGGCTAAATTTTCTGTTTCATTCGTTCTGAGCCTAAGTATATCTATTCTAAATTCTATCTAGTTTATATGATAGTAAGACGGTATATTACCTATAGTGTGGAAGATTTTCTGGTAGCACTAAGTCTTGTTACGATCACATACTAGAGCATATCGATAGAGGTCAAACAACTAGAATAAGGAAGCTAAAGAGGAAAGAGATATCCTTACCGGATCTCTTCATCTCTTATATAATTATAATTACTTAGTTCAAGCTAGCCTTGAACTAATCACTATGCCATGTGATATTCGTCACAACTCTAATTTTTGAATAACTTCGCACAAGTCTTCCTTAGTTCGGAAGTTACATCCCCCACAAATATAGATAACTCAGAAATTCGTACTTGTTATCCATTTATCACTGTCTCAACCAAAATTTTCGAGATTCAGACCCTCATCGTCCCCTCAATCAACATCCTCAAAAACTCAGACCTCACCAACCCACGTTTCGAACTATCACCATGGCCTTCTCGATCTTCAAAGCTTGTCCCAGCTGCCTCCACAATAAGATTCTACTTTTGGCTGACCCATTTGTCGTCATCAGCAGCTTCTACCAAATTCAACGAAAATGGTCCATCATCGAGCAATTTGAAAAATTGATAAAAGAAAGGCAAATGACATGCACCGTGGAACCAGCGGACCTCCATCGAGTTATTAATGAAGCTTCCCGCCGATTGGAAAAGCATGGCGAGAGTTTTCCAGAATTGAAAGGACTTGTTGGATCGAAGAAGAACATCGAGTCCACAATTTTCTTCAGCTTTGACAGCAAGGTCGCCATCAAGGGGATGCGAGGTGTTTAAGCTCTCGTACCAGGTCATTCGAGATCAAGTTTTGGAGGCCACGTAGTAATAGCTTCATTTAAAATGGTTTCCACTCCCAAGTTCCTGCCAATTGTGACGAGAGTGTCAAAAAGTGAGAGATTAAAATTTTCGTAGTTATATAAGAGTTGAGGCACCAGCTTATCGCACACTTAACGAAAACACACCAAAAACCCTTATTTTTTCAATTTTTTAATTAACATGGTTTATCATCATATAGGCCATATCATCATATAGGCCACTTTCACCTCAATTATTATCTCTTTACTTTAATACACAATTTATTAATAATCTATTATAAAAACAATTAATAAAAAAACATAAATTATTCTAACTATTAAAACTATTCAAAAAGATAAAAAATTAAGTATTCGGAAAGTTATTAAATTATATAATATCCTATATATAATAATTTAGTATAGAATGGATAGTTTTATCTTTTGTATAGAATATCAATATAAAATCTATAAGATTATAGAATTAAAAAAGAAAGTGATTATTTAATATATAATTAATATGGATAATAAAGAGTTTCTATTTAAACTTAAAGATATAAAAAATATAATAAATTATATTCTCAAATCAAGAGATGTAAAGAAAATTGAAAAGCTTTGAATTTATTAATTTATAAAATATTATATAAAATTAAAAATATATTTTAATTATATTTATAATTTTCAAAGAATTCTTTATAAAGATTTTAAGTTTATTAAAAACTGATTTTATTTAATTTTGAGTATATAAACAAAATATAATATTCTCGATTGTGATTTCTATAATTTTAATAAAATCGGTTTTATAATAGATATAATATATTCTGGAATGGTTATAATTAATGCTAAATGAAATAGTAGAAACAAAATAATATAATTAGATAATAAAGAATAAGCTATAGCGATTATATATAATAATGAAAAGAGTAAAACTCTATCCCTATTTCTAATAATTCAAGGATAGATTTATCTTTCCAATTAATATATTGAAATCGATTTCCTTATAAATTGGGTTATTAAATTTATTTTTAATAAATAAATAAATAATAAAACAGATTTAGAATAATTGAAATATTTCGATAAATATACTCTAAATCAAAAAAAGGGCAAATATCGAATATTAATACTAAATAGATATAAAAGTTATAAATTAATACATTTTCAGTTATATTGTAAAGCAAATAATATAATATATCTAAAGTTATTATTATATTCAAATCATTTAACTCAATTATTTGATATTAACTATTTTAATAATTTGAAACATTTATATAGCATTCAAATTGATGAATTTATCAAAATATATATCAATTATATTTCGAAGATTGAATTCTTAATAGTTTTCAAAGCTATATATCAAAAATCAATTACAATTCAAAATATAAAAGTAGATTTTCGAAAAACAGATTTAATATCATTTGATTCTGAAATTGTACTTTCAAAACTAAATATTCGAATTTGTATATTTATTTCCCCTTCTTTCGATTTAGATTTATAGATCTTTTAAACCCCTTACTGTGACACTTTGCCTTAGAAGAACTGCGAGAGCAGGGTACAATTTATCCTTAGAATCTACAACTACAGAATCAAGAGCAAAGCGCTCGTAAAGCACACCTATATACTAACTATGTACACATGATCGAACGCATACGCAAATGCGCACGTAAGCGATCGCAATTGCGATTGGGTGCGATCCGTGACACTTACAATCCGATTGAAGCTCTTTCACAATCAATTTTAATAAAATTTCGAATAGTTTATCATCAATTAAACTCTTCTATACCTATATTTGAAATTATATTAATTCTAACCAAAGACACAAAAAGATTAATCTATAAGAATACATTTTTAAGTGTAAAAAACCATATATTTCGAAAAACAAATAAGATATTAAGTAAATGTCGATATACTAAAAAGATTTAATTACATAATAAAGGAATACTTACTAAACAAAAAACTAAAAATATATTATCTCAACAAAAAATTAATATTCAGATTTAACATAATAAATATCAAAAAAAAAGAAATTCTAATGAAAAAGCATCTTCTAGTTGATACTATAGTAAATATAAAAGATTAGATTATAATTCAAGAACTTATTAAATTAATATAATAAATCCTAGATTATTAGATTCTTAATAATTTCAATTAATTAATTTAATAATTGTAGAATAATATAAATTTAAATATAATAATTGAGATGAAAATAGCTCACATAATGATATGGCCCACATGATGATAAACCACGTTATATATTATTTCGATATATAAATGAATTAAATTATTGAAACTAATATAAATAATAGAAAATCAATAAAATAATTCAAAAAAATAAATAAAATATTTTTAATAATCTTTTATAAAAAATTATAGATTTTTAAAGTTAGAATTTCTGAAAATTTGAAAAAAAAAGTGATTTTTTTATACAAGAAAAATATTACATATTAAAGATTTTGAAAATTTCCAATTTTAAATACTTATAATTTTATTCAAAAAATTATTAAAAATAATTCACTTATTTTCTAAGAAACTAATTATAACTAATATTTATATAACCAATTTTCAAATTATATCTTTGATTTATTAAAGAATTAAAAAAAAAATTAATTTAATATAAGAAAACAACATTTTTGCAGAGATTTTGTCACAAAATAAAGTAATATGCGATAAGCCGGGGCCACAACTCTTACTTTCCAGGAATCATTCCTTGTAACATAGGCTTCAAAGAATTCATTCCAGTTGCTGCCAACGAAATTTTGCAAGGGGCATACCAGGCTAGCATCTCCAATCAGTCAGTGAATTTCTCTCTTCCGGCCATGTTAATGTGATGATCGATTTCTAGCTTGCTCGTATCGCAGCTTGGTTCGTCGTTGTAGATTGTTCCCATACCAGGAAGAGACTATAGAACTCTGCGTGGCTTGCTTTGATGTGCAAACACGAGGCCAAAAGATTTTGCCAATATCTATCATGCATCAGCCTAATGAGACTTATGGTGATCCCACAATGGCAACCCAGACGAAGTGAGCCATAGCAATCAGAAGTAGAGCCCTGAGATTGTATTTCCACGGGTTGTTCATGGTACCAGTCTATGGCGATTCGCTCTTCATTCTCCAATGATGGCAGCCCAGGCAATCTCCAAGTGACAACTTACTAAAATGCTATAATCAGCAGGGCCTTCGAAAGCAAATAAGCTCCGCACTTGTATCGTATAAAGCACGAGTAAGCTATAGTCAAACTGATCAAGTGCCCATTTCCTGTCGAAGTACGCTCCATCACTTTCAAAACTATTATAGCCTTCAGCGCCTTTGAGGAGGATTGTTGTAATCAAGCACCAAACAATTGCTGAAACCAAGAACAATAGAACCAAGTGCCCTCTACTTATTTTAGTATTCTTTGTAGTTTGCAGAACCGCTGAGAAGTGCTAAGAAGTGCTGTTGTAAACAAGGTCCACTCTAGACGAGGACCAAGAAAGAAAACTGCCGAAAACTGTAGGACTCAGATATCCATTTCTTGCCCAAGCACTCGTCGACAGAACTATTTGATTACTTTGACAAATAGAGGACCACAGAGCCATAGAAATCAAGTGCCCGTTTCTTGTCGAATTTTTATGGGGATCGCAAAACAACCGCCGAGAACCGGAGGCATTAGAAATCAAGTGCCCATTTGCGTCGGAGTACCGTGCTACTCAACGACGAGGACTTGTCGATTGGCTGGTCTTACAGGCCAGTGCCACAACGGGGCCACCTATGAAAGAAGGTCAGAGAGTGGCGGATAACTATGCGTGTCATTACTCACTGCCATGCCAAAACGCTACTATCACTTCCCCTCCGTTGAAAGATCTGCTGGGCCATCCGCATGATGATGGTGATTGATGAAGAGGCCGAAACTACACTGATTGAAGTGTAGATTCGTTGCGCTGGCGAGGATAAATCCTCCCAGGAACCCCATCACCAACAAAATTGTCTTTCCATCATGCCCTATAGCACGCCACGCAGCTCGCAGGCAGGAGAATGTGAGAGGAATATCGATAGGAGTAGACATAAATATATATATATATAAATTGTTTCTAAAAAGGATATAAAATTTTATTATTATTATTGGTATGATTGTTATTATTGTTAATTCGCTGTATGCAGAATGAAGACGAAAGGGAAGAAAAACAGAAGAAACGGAAGAAACGAAGAGGGCGAGATTGAGTAGCCATTTGCATTGTTTGACTTTCTCGAAATTCGCTCTTTCCAGTGAGAAATTGCATTTGAGAATCATAACGGAAAGAGATTTTCAGACTCGTTGAAACAAGTACGAGCAGTCAAACCGTTGGCCATTACTTCCCACTCGGTAATCCAAACCTTAGGAGTGAGAATCAGACATCAGATCAGATATGTCAATCCACAATAACTTAGCAGACTTAAATCTGTCTGGCACATCTGAAAATTGATATTTGCCGCCATCTCTCACATCTATCGTTGCTTACCTTTCGACATAAATCTCATTCATGCTAATACTATTTCTTCTTGAATGTAGCCAGTACTACCTAGTGGCTTATACAAAACCAGGAAGAATCATAAGTTTGTGAGTGGTATGATCTTAAGTGAGTGATATTGTGGATAAATATAGAGTATTTATAGCTGCAGATGGTTAGTGGGTAAAATATTTGCGACATGTTTTGAGAGATCTACTCTTGTTTAAGGACTTTGATTTTTTGGTCAGTTCACATAATTATCATTCGACTTTGATAAACAATTGATGTAAGAATTTCACCAGTCACTGGAGAGGAGAGAATAGCGCCTGTCCAACTTCGTGGCGTGCGAAAAATTTCTCTCAAGATGTTTGTATAATCTTGAGCCATATTCTACATATGATGAGAGTATCATGCTAAAAGAACTTTCAATCTCCTGGCAAAAAGGCCATCTTTATCTAGTTGAGATGCTACCTCATCGATAGCTGCACTATCTTCTGAGCGCGTGACACCATCCGGAATATTGACACAGGTAACAACAAACTTGCCCCTGGAGGTGTCCTTGATGTAATCTGCAGCCTTCTCAAAGATTATACCTGCTGCGAGCACACCTGCACTGAGAGGTGAGATCATCTGATGTTTGAGAGCGAGTCTACCACGGAAATAAACGACGCCCATGGCTTCTTCAAATGTCAAAGTCCCAACAACATACGCAGCCGCGATCCCTCCACTCGAATGGCTCGTCACTACTGTAGGTTGAATAACCCAAGATTTTAAAAAATCAACAAGCGCCATCTGGAGAGCTACAGTAATAGGCTGACTTATGTCAATCTGATGAACACGTGTGGTCTCTTCATCGCGCATGAGTTACTCTTGAACTTTGAAGGTGTCAGCTCTCAAGATTTATCTTATCGACGCGAAATGCATACAAATTAACGATCAATCTACTCCTTAAAATTTTAAATTTTTAAATGGCATTCGTAATCAGAGACCCAAAGATAGGGTACGAAGTGATCAATCCTCTCCCAATAGCATACCGCTAAGCACCTTGGCCATTAAATACAAACCCAATCTGAGTACTCCTCAGTGCTTTGGAGATTTTGAGTTTTGGATGTTCTAGACTCTCGACTAATGCTTCCAGGCTCTTAACTTTACATAATCTCCACTGCACGCGAGAAGCGAGATTTTCGTTTCGCTAAATTATACGCAAGGTCTGCTGGTGATAACTCTTTGCTATTCGATATCGAGTCGTGGATACAAGCTGCCAGTCTTTTACTTGCGTCTTGATTGACCATCGAATCTTTGGAACTGACAATGTAGATACGACTTGCGACAGGGTTTCTAGAGATTCCGTTGCGACTCACGTCTTGAAGTCGACTGCTAGGAGCGCGCTCCATGAAGAGATGAGTGTTTGAGTCACCATATCCAAAGTTGTTGATGGAAGCTCGCATAGGTTTATCTTCCGGTCATGGCGTAAAGACTGTCGGTACCTGAATAAGGAGATAAGTCAAACCTCTAAGTAACAGCTGCAAGAATTGTGTTGAGAGCGCTAAGCTGTAATTTCCAATCCTTGATGGGGATCTTTGGGTTGTGTTCTTGTAGTTTAGGTTAGGTGGAATAAGACCGTGTCGAAGGATGAATGTAGTCTTGATGATGGCAGCAATGACCGGTTCAGTGCACCCGAAATTGATTTTTACTGAGCCAACAATGACTGGATCATCTGCTTTTCTAGACTTACCAAACGTACGCGCAAGAGCCTCCACCTCGATCAGATCTCCGGTGGGAATACCCGTCATGTGGGCTTCAACATAACCAGTCTCTGTTACATCAAGGCTTGCGCGGTTGTAGCATTCTTTTATGAGTTTCAGTTGTGCTTCCATATAAGCAGAGCTGTTTTTCCCGTCCTGACCAGATCCCAAGTGTCGAATCGCTGCATGGACGAAATCTACATCTTTCAACGCAGCGTCGAGGCGTTTTAATACTATTGTCGCAACGCCTTGTCCTCGGCCATAACAAGTTGCTCTGTCATCCCATGCATAGCATTTGCCTTCGGAGTTACTGGGAACAATTCGCCGATGACCTCCCCTATGGACCCGAGTATCAACTTTCATACCTCGCCCTTTGCCTCTACCAGTTTACAGTCTACGGATATGGATCAGAATTCATTGCAATCTATGTCTCAAGCTTACAATGGTTTAGAATTTGATGACGATTTCTTCAATTGTTTTCCCGCCAGTCCTCATGGAACTGGACACGACCATTCTGCCTCGCAATTTCAAGTCTGAGGTTGGCAATTTGAGAAGACATAGAAGATGAAGAGAGTTCTCAAAGAATCAAAATTCCTAGCCTCCAAGAACTGCGTGCATTCAACTCATTAGAATCTACAACTCCAGTTGCATAATTGCCAACGCCTGAGGGTGATGAGTAAGGGAATGCATGCCATACAATAATCACCGAGCTTAAAAGTTTCGCTTCGACAGTTTTTACTACGCAAGCAGAAATTGCAGGCATATCTTCAGTCTTAGCAGAATACCCTGCTTGGGCGAGACAACAGCGCCACGAGGCAGAGTCAGGACTACTAAGTGTAAGATATGATGGTCTTTTGGAAACTCTGGAAAGCAGCCTGAGAGAGCTACATGAAATTTCTCAGACGAGGCATCAAGATTCTTGGAATCAAGTGGTGAATGTGCTGGAGAAGTTAGAGGGGACGGAAGCTCAATTTAGTGCGATAAACAATGAGTTGATGAATCAAACGGTGGAAAAGGCGCAGTTTTTTCAAGTGAATTACAACGTTTGTGCTCCATTACAGAATCAAAAATTTGGGGGCTAGCGATTTAAATTGAGCAAGCTTTCCCTCCCTCTCTCTATCTGTATCTTTTGCTGCTTTTTAATCCACATAGATAAGGTTGCTTCTTGATACACATTTAGGCTTATCGCCACACTCTATTCAAATGATCTTTATTCTAACAATCTTTGAGTGGATTGACTGCTTTTTTGTTGTGATTGCCCCCCACTTAGGAATGGCGCAATATGGTTCACCGAGTAGTACGTAGTAAATACTCGCATTCGTATATGTTGGATGTCGTGGTGTGAAGGATTATATAGGTTGTCAAGCCTCAAATAAGCTGACAGACTACCCGTTCTCCCAAGAAGATTGTTGTTGTGGTTTTGAGGATAAAACTTATGACTCATTGCATCAGTACTGACCGATTCATCAAAAGCAACTAAAAGTTTGTGCGCAGAGTTTCCTTATGGTATCTCTTGTGAATCAATGATTCACTAATTCAGATTATCCCAATGTGCTATGTTGTAATTCCAGCACAGTAGATCGAATCAAACAAAAAATGATGATGTTGAAGTGTGCCAAATGAGATAAATGATCTCACGATGGCGATAAGGATATGTAAGACAGAGATTCGCATTGCGGTATATATCAATATGCAACCAACCAATGGGCTGTTCGCATCATCTCTGAACAAAACTCCTGCAAAGCTCAACCAAGCCATAATTGACTAAAGTACGGGATTCTGAGATAATGCCTTGGCAACTATGATGATTCGATCTTCATGTTTGTCCTATTGGATTGCGGCGATATACTCTCTAACTGACAATAGCATTTGAGAGCATGTAATCTCTCAGTATGCTTCATTATAATATGAGAAAAGCATGTCAACCGTCGCCACCTATGCGAAGGCACCGGGCGATAAAGAAGCCACCACACCATGAGACATCGAAACTAGAAGCGAAACTAGACGACCTTGTTACATTGTTGAAGTCAAATACTCAAGTTACGCCAATACGAATCAATTCTGGCGTCAAGACTATCACAGCATCCGCTGGTAGAGCCGTTTATAAACAGTATAAAGACTGCAGATCATCGCTGAGTGGGAGTGGAGTTGATAATACTCCAACGTCCTCCCCATCAAATACAGCGTCACTAGACACCTTTAGCTTACGATCCTTATATTCTCTGAGTTTCGAACCTAACAAACAAGATGCAGAGCTGTTTCCAAATAGGTTTTGGTGCGATCTGATCAACAATCTCCCTTCATCAATATACCGTCATCTGTGACAGCTCATCAGCTTCGCCAAGAGCGTCCTTTCCTCTGGGTTGCTATCATGACAGTAGCTTCAAACAACTCTAAACAGCAGACAATAATGTCTAAAGAAGCAAGAACTATCTTTGCAAAGGAAGCATTTGTTGAAGGGACAAGAACTATGGATCTACTTCTGGCAATCCTGGTCTATACTGTTTGGTATGTAAACGCCGCCACTCAACAATCGCGAACACTTCACTCTAACACAACACGAAACTCTAGGGATCGATACTTCTATTCTGAACAATCTGCTCTTATTAATCTTATACAGCTTTCAATTTCAATGCTGCATAACCTTGGATTAGATAAGCCACCGCCAAGAGATCCAGCCGTCATGCTTGCATATGATCTGAAAGGAAGTGGAAAACCAGCAAGATTATCAAGGGTTCCAACAAATGAAGAACGTAGAGCTCTTCTTGGATACTATCTATTGAGTTCAGTGTATGCACATACCAACCAACACTTGCCTCACTAACTCTCGTAGGTCATGCTATACTCTACGTAAAGATAATACCTTGCGATGGACTGGTCATTCAGACGAATGTCTAAAATCACTAGAAACGGAAAAGGAGCTTGATACCGATGCCATTCTGGTTCAACTGGTGAAGTTGCGTCTGATCACCACGAGAATCAATGACTTGCCTTGGTCAGGTGGTCTTAGTGTTGATAGCGTTGTTAAGGCACCCGTCTCATTCTACCTGAAATCACTCGAATCTCAGCTCCAAGAATTGAGAAGAAAATTCCAGAATATTTGACAAATAACGATGAGTTATTCAGAACCTGTGAGGAGTTTTGGACATGGGATTTGCTTGGCAAAGCCCACTATTCTCCAAACAGTAACTCTCGGCCTGGAACTCCATACCACGGAACGCAGCATATACGAAATTGGTCTATTGCAGGTGCACAATGCTTGGATTAACGTCTTTCTCAGTATTCCGCCAGCAGAATACATTAGCTTCTTTGCGTTAACATACTCCAATATGACTCACTATTTCTTAAGCGCATATCGCCTAACAACATTGGACAATACTGATGGGAACCAGACGCCATGTATAGAGCACCTGGATGTCTCGTCATTCCTAGATCAGGCAGGAAGGAATTTTGCGCAAGTCAACGAAACGGCAGGAATTGATGTTAGTCCTGAATATCCGGACTCTTTTAGCATAATGGCAAACAGGATTCGATTAATTCAAGTGTCCTGGGATGTATCACATAGCGTTGCAGCTAATTCGCTTGTTAACTCTTCCAACTTTGATAACCATGAGCTATACGACTTTTCAATGGAATTTTCAGATGGAGATTGGTTGAACGACTTGCTAGATTCGCATGATGAACAACTTCAATGGGATCCATAATTGTTTTGATAAGGGTACTACGTGTTTAGGAACACCTACAGTTATTGAACTTGGACTGAGGACCAAAATTTGAGTTGTTGTTTGTATTCCAAGTGAAATTAATCGAGATAAATATTCTGTCTCCTACCTTCGACAATATCAAAGTGCGTAAACTGTGAAAATTTGTGTTAAGGGCAATTGATATGCAACTATAATTTTTTAGCTATGAAACACTAGCCTAATCAACCTCAAATCGTAGTTCGGTCTCAACTTTCCGTTGAATGACATGTTAAACGGCACGGTAATGATAGTTTCTGATGTAGCCCTCCGATCCGATTACTCCTCTCCGGTCCGATCCAATCACATGATTTCCTCCGATTAGCCAATTTCTATGTCCTCTTCATATGGATTTCCAAACACAAAACACTATGATAAATTGTCTTTTGGAACGGCTGTCAAAGAGAAACCTTATTGAGTTTATGACCCTAAATCGCTGATATGGCGGCGTCTGATGATCAATCTATAGAGGTGCCCAGCGCGTCCTCAACCCCCCAACAGAACCCGTCAAGGATGATGACGACGAATATTTAGATGGCTTCAAGCTATATGTACTTGTTACATGCTTAACCTTTGCAGGCTTCTTGCTGATGCTTGACGAATCAGTTATTTCTACGCTTAGTTGTCGCTTCCAGGTGGCCACTTCGTTGGTTTATAGTCGTTAACACTAAAACTTGCAGGCCATTCCTAAGATAACCACACAGTCCCATTTTGTAAGCCCATCCCTTTCTAAATACAATTTTGTAAAGATGTTATACAGCATCGGCTCATTTCGCGAGACTTTCGTCAATTAATTGGAGAGATGAGCACTATCCGAAGTGTACAGTTACGCACAGACGAATTTTGTATGTAAAAAGGAGTGGCTCATATAATAATATAGTCCACATGCTAATAAACTACGTTATTTTTATAATATAACGTGGTTTATCAGTGAGTGAGTTATATCAATGAATAGATTACTTTTATTTCAATTTACATTTTCAAAACTATATTATTTAATAATAATCAAATCAATTAATTGAAATTATGAAGAATCTAATAATTTAGGATTTATTATATTATTTTAATAAGTTCTTATATTATGTTCTGTTTTTCCATATTTATTATAATATTTATTAAAAAATACTTTTCTATTAGAATTCCTTTTTTTTTGATATTTATCACATTAAATTTGAATATCAATCTTTTACTAAAATAATATATCAAAAGTCTTTTGTTTAATAAACATTCTTTCTTAATATAATTAGGTTTTTTTCATATATCAATATTTGCTTAATACTTTATTTGCTATTCGAAATATATAAATCTCTATATTTAAAAATATATTTTTATAAATTAATTTTTTTATATTCTTAATTAAAACTAATATAATTTCGAATATAGATATAGAGGAGTTTAATTAATAATAAGTTATTTGAAATTTAATTAATAACGTGATTTATCATCGAGTGGGCCATCATTTTTACATACAAAATTCGTCTGTATGTAACCGTGCACTTTCTTTATTTATTAATAGAATTTTTTAAAAATTAAAATTATGAAATTTAATTATATAAATATTACAAAAATCTCATTATTTATTAGAAATTCGAATTAATATAAGAATTATTATTAGGAATATTTTTTGGTAATAAAAATCATAACAATTTTCACCTTTTTTAATATAAAATGAAAATATTTATATAAAAACTAGATTTTTAGAAAACTAATTTTTTATTATTATTTAATCTTTTTTTCTTTTTCTAAAATAATAATTAATTATTAAAATACAAATATTCAAAAAGCCTTAATTTTGATGTATTTTGAAGTGGCCCACTCGATGATATGGTCTACTCGATAATAAACCACGTTATTGATTAAGAAAAAGCTTTAATTAGATTATAAGAGGTTTAAAAGATTTATTGATTTAAATCAAAAGAAAGGAAAATAAATATATAAATTCAAATATTTAATTTCGAAAATATAGTTTCAAAATTAAATAGAATTAAACTTGTTTTTTGAAATCTTGATTTTATATTTTAAAAAATAATTGATTCCTTATATACAGTTTTAAAAAACTATAAAGAATTCAATTTTCGAAATATAATTGATATATATCTTAATAAATCCATCAATTTGATTATTATATAAATATTTTAGATTACTAAAATAGTTTATATCAAATAATTGAGTTAAATAATTTAAATATAATAATAAATATATATAACGTGGTTTATCAGTGAGTGGGTCATATCAGTGAATGGGTCATTTCGAAAACCATTTAAATCAAGCTTTTCAAAATATTGATATTTTAATAATGAATCATTATTTTTTAGATAAAAAAGAGCCTTAAATAATGATAAATATTTGGATTTTTAGAAATCTAGTTTTTATATAAATATTTCTATTATATTCGGAAAAGAAATGAAATTGTTATGATTTTTGTTACAAAAAAACTATTTTTATAATAACTATTTTATAAATTTGAATTTCTTAAAACTAATTAAATTTCTGTAATTTATATATATTTAGATATTTTATATTAAATTTTCAAAAGATTCTATTAATAATAAAGAAAGTGCATGGCTATATACGGATGAATTTTGTATGTAAAATATGTAACCCATTCACTGATATAACCCACTCACTAATAAACCACGTTATTTAATATTATTCTTTTATAATAATTTTGAAATAATATTGATTTGTGGTTTTTATATTTATTTAATACTAATATTCGATATTTGTTTTTTTTTTCGATTTTTAATATACTTATTAAAATATTTTAATTATTTTAAATTTATCTTATTGTTTATTTATTTATTAAATATAAATTTAATAATCTAATCTATCGAAAGATTCATTTTGGTATATTAATTGGAGAAATAAATTTGTTCTTAAATTATTAGAAATGGGGGAATAATTTTTATTTTTATATTTTTATATATTATTGTTATAATCTATTCTTGATTATCTGATTATATTGATTTACTTCTACTGTATTTCTCAATATTAATAATAATTATTATTATATATATAATTCTTATTATAAAACTTGTTTTATCAAGATTATAGAAATCTTTATTCAAAATGTTATATTTCGCTTATATATTTATAATTAATCGAAATTATTTTTCAAAAAACTTAGAATCCTTATAAAAAGCTTTTTGAAAATTATAAATATAATTAAAATATATTTTTAATTTGATTTAACACTTTACAAATTAATACATTTAAAGTTTCTTAATACATTTCGTATTTCTCAATTTGAAAATATAATTTGTTATATTTTCTATATTTTTGAATTTAAATAAAAAACCTCTCAAATCTATATTAATTATATATTTTGAAATAATATTTTCTTTTAATTCTAAAAGATTATAAGATTTAAATTAATATTTGAAATAAGGGGTAAAACCTTTAATTCTATATTATAATATTATATTCAAAATATTATATATCTTTATAGCTTTTCGAATACTTATTTTTTTATTTTTCTGAATAACTTTAATAGTAAGGAGTATATAAGCTTTTTGATTATTTGAATTTATTATAGATTATTGATAAAATGCATATTGAAAGAAAAAAGAATGAATTAAGATAAAAATAATTTATTTATTGATATAACCCACTCACTAATAAACCATGTTAACGTTTTTTGATTAGTATGAAACATTACGCCAAGATTATGCACGTGACTGACTTGACGGTCAATCAAACCCTTAAAAATGAATAAAAGCGGGGTGAATTTGAAGGCATATATGCCCAACCCTAGTTACATAGTGTGTAGTGGCCTCCTTTTAAATACTGTATCCCCAAGCATCCGGAAAGAAAAACTCACCAACGACACGAGCAAATGACGCCAGGATTTCCAAAAGAAAAATGACATCAAACAATCCCCTACAAAACTCCGGGGCATCAGTCTTCTACCCCTCCCCCCCATCCGCAGCCGAGAATCTCAAGAATGCAACCCTCTTCACACGCCTCCATATTCGCGCAACTCCTCAAGTTGCACAGCAGGCTATAAACAGTACACCTACGCTTCGGAACACATTTCTCCTGGGTCATCTCAATGACGTTTTGATTTTCGATACCGAGAAAGGAGCGCATATCACACATGTCAAAGCCGTGTTGAAAATGTTGGTAGAGAAGGGTATGACGGCCGATATCAACCTGTGTGCTTTTGATAAGCCGGATTGGACTTCGGCTGGATTTTATATCGATCCGATTGGTAATGAGAATGAGAATAAGGGGGGGCGTGGAAAACAGGCTTTTATGGTTATTTTGAGGGAACATTTGACGAAGGAGGCACTGGCGGCTATAGATAGGAAGTTGTGATGAGACGAGCTGAGACGGCGAGGGATGAGAGGAGACAGTTGAACTGGGAAGGTTAAGGTATTTGAGGTCTTACTTATTAGCTGAGAGAGAATGATATGTGAGTGGAGGGAGTGGTTCAGGTTTGTATGTATGCTAGATACGTACTCTGGAGTGACGTCTTCATCTACTTACTGGGTAACTGAACCTTCTTCTACATCACTTTCTTTGAATTTCTCGATCATTCCTGGCTTTTCAACACATCAAAGCCTTCTCATATACATAATCTGTATTACTAGTCTGGATCTGTAACAGGGCTCCTATATGTCACTTGTCATTAGCAGGAGGCATAGAATGCTTTAATGAATGATAACATCTAAATATCAAGATATCAGATTTTCAATAATCCTAGCTTACAATATCTCAATATATAGCCTTTAAATTACAGTCGCCCTCGCTAATTAGGTTAATTGATGATTAACCTTTGAGACCTCCGTTCGCTCAATCGACAAACTCTTTCATTTTTCCATTTGCTCGATATTGAAAGCCCACAATATAGGTTTTCCAGATTAGCTATCATCTACTCCCATCCCAGGTTGCTTCCACTTTCTGACTGTTTTATCTTATAAAGCCAACTAACATCCCAGCAAATGATCTAAAAACAGCCAACTTGACTCAATCTACAACTCCTAATCCCGTTTAATCCTCGCCTTCTCCCAAATATCCTCTCTCAACATTCCCTTCAACGGTGTACCCTCTACAACCTGAAATCCCCTCTTCCTAATCCCCTCATCTTAATCCAGTAGATAAATTCCTTCTCTATCCTATCAACTTTCTCCTTTTTAACTTTTTGTAACTTCTCAACTTTGTTTTACGATTCTATCACTCCCATTTCGTTTTTTATATTAACCAATTGGATTCCTAATAGCATTTTGACTTGAAGGCTCTCGATATTCCTATCCATACTTGCAAAAAATTTCAATGAAAATGGTGAAGATAAATACTGTAAAGCCCAGCAAACCCATTACAAACCGCTTCTATTATTATTTACACCCTTTCAATTAGTAATATTAGAATTGACAAGTTCTTTCAGGAGTTTATTAATTAACGTTTTAGTGAGCTGTGGTATCATCTGTTAGTACTTGCTTGATACATCTTGTTGTTTGATTGTAACATATGAACTACTTGAATTGAAGTATGAGATAGTAGAATGGGACAAGATTGAAGGGGAGTTTCTGATACGTACCTCACCAACATCTCCCACACTAAAAGGTCTAATCCCCCCTATCAAATTCTCCATCAAAACCTCTTGTACCTCATCTCCTATAACCGCCTTTACTTTCTCCTTTTCATCTTTGCCTAATAATTTTGCCTTCTTGGCTTCCTTGACGACACCTTTTGTCTTCAAATATCTGACCTCCTTCCTATCTTCCTTGTCTTTTCTTAGAGCCCATCTCTTTAGCGGGGGCTTTATTCTTGTGTGGAGCTTTAACTGTCTCTGCTTTCTCGATTTCAGGTTTCTTCAGTGTAGGCAATAGTATACTATAGTGAAACGGTGGCGCGTATTAGCATATTGATATTGCAGCTAGTATGTATAGAAAGAAGGTTATACTACTCTCGTATATATTCATATATCTAAAGAATACTAGCAATATACTGGAATACTGGAATCCAATATAATATCTTCATTCCTATTCAAATTGGACTAGAAACAAGGGATTTCATTTCAATTTGAAGTAAGGAATGGAATTTATTGTCTAATTTGGATAGGAATGAAGATATTATATTGAATTCCAGTATTTCAATATATTACTAATAGTATTGAATAACTAAATGATATTGAATACTTTTAGTGGTGTTGAATTCTGTACCACATACATACGTATTTCGAAAAAATTCGATACACACCATTAAACTAATCTGTATATGAAATACGTGAAATACTATTGCCTACACTGGGTTTCTTAACCTTTGATTTGATGGATGTTGCGGAGGCAGTAGAAAGAATGGATGCTACAGATGCAATATCGAAATTATAATCTGTTGTAGAAGATGCCGTCAGGCTATCATCAACTGACTTATTTAACTGGGTGGCATGGTGATGGATTGTTAGATAATTGTTATTTGTGAATTGAAAGTCACTCATTCAAGCGATTGATAAGCAATGTAATTGGGTTGTGAGAGTGTTTGATAAATGTGCGTAAGGATTGCGCATGAAAAATGTAAGGGAATGTGAAGGTCGGTATTGGTGTGGCTCTGAAGGCTTGCAGCGAAATGAAGGTAAAGGCGACGGCAGTTTGTGACTCAACCTTGAGTGCTTTCTCTGATACTGGAAGATTAAACCTCAAATCCTATGTCCTCACAACGTGAACCAAACTCTCTTGTCTGTCGCGGAATTCAACAAGAGAAAGTAGAAATGACCGCCAATACGAACCGTGCAAGTACCAGAAGAAAAGTATCGATTAGCTGCTCTTCTTCAAGCGCTTCTCCTCTCTCGTCATTCTTCTCTTGCATCAATCACGAAAGTCTCCTTCCCTTTCAGCTTCAATTCCACCACCCACCAAATATCTCAACTGCCGTATCTCAACCAAACACTTACAAAATCGCACACACAAAAACCACAATTTCAAACTCCAGCCAAACCATGTAGATGTAAGAGAAGCAGATGGATATGCTCATTCTTATCCTTATGTCTCTCTTCCCTGAGTATTGTTTCCTCAACGCAATAGGTAGATAGAGATAAGTTGCCTCGTAAACGAGAGATTATTTTCCTCCTAAACTTAAAGATGCATGTACGCGTGTATATATAAGCCGAAGTAAAGAGAGATCAAGAACAAGAGATATAGTATCACTCCCTGAATATGTAAACTAAATACCTACGAGTAGTATGTAATTCATAAGTATTCCGTATGTACCTAGTAGAGAGTTCTCGAAGCAAAAAGAAGATTAAATGTAAGAAATCCACTGGAATGTAATATCTTCAAGACATTTGATGCCTATGAAGTTCTGATATCGAGTTGTGCGAGGAGCAAGTCATCCTTGAATACAAATCACGTATGAGAAAGAAAAAAACCATGCCAACGAGCGCTCATTATCATCTAATGGCCTCTTTCAGTACTACAAAGGCGTCGAACTGTCACTTGAACTCACGGTGAGATATAAGTGGCTTGTTGGATTTGAATATCAAATACGGTAGCTCCAACTATGAACATACAATTCGACTTGCGTATGGAAAAATGATCGGGGAGAGTATAAAATTGTGGATCATTCAAAGTCGGAGAAGAAGGTTTTTCAAAAACCAAGAGCATAAAGCAAATTAAATTATATTGTTCTAGCTGACTAGCAGAAATAGAAAAATATAAAGTGAAAACACCCAGCCAAACAGAAATATTCATACATCTCGTAAACGCCACATCGCGCTTCTGTGCCCTTCTTCCAATATGCGGTTCCATATTACGCCAGTAATATCCAGGTTTTGATCTAAATGATTGTAGGTGTATCAACTTACCAGCTATAATTATCTCTCGTAACTTAACGATCGCTCCTCCTCGGAATACTCATCGGGGTATGCATCATTCATTCTCCTTCCCCGAGATCTAGCACGAGGAGCAATGTTAAATCCATACATGGTGTCTCTAGTGACCATATAGATACCGAATGAAAAGAGAAGAGCAAAGGCAAATGCTGCCCACTGGAGTCCCTCGAGCGTTTTCCCTTGTTCAATCTGTACGTTTGCAGAGCATCCTACAGCTGTATCTCCAAGTACCGTATTGACCGCATTAACGGAGACAGTGAGCGTATATGCTGCACCAAGACTGGTAGCAACAGATGCCCACAGAAATGGCATGGCTACCATGCCGATTTTACCAGCAGGTTTTCCCAGACCTGCAAGCAGCCATGCACCAGTGTCAACAAGAAATCCTAGGAGAAATAGAGATAGTGCGACCATAGGCATGAAAATTGATATGTCGTTCTGTAACTTCTGTCCTAACTGTATGATATTTGAATCGACATGAAGTGTCGCGGCAATTTCGTCAGGAGACTGACTATACTGCTTGCCTATGCATTGGAAACCGTTTGTGTTCTTGAACGTATCTCCGTTGCTTCCTTCCACTCCCACATAAGCACAAATACCTAAATAGTTTGTTAACGAAGGTTTGCAGAACCAGGAAGATATATTCACGAACCCATGTAACCAAATCTCAATCCACCAATTTTGGATCCATCACTGCCTACCTTGGAGATCTGTCCGATGAAGACATTCTGCATTCCTGGCGTTGTTGTCGCAGATCCGGCAATCGACATAGCTAAACATCAACACATTAACTCAGGTCTACGAATTGATACATCGGGCAAGAAGCAAGGAGGGTTTGTGGGCTTACCCGAAAATGTAAAAAATGGGATAGCTCCAATAATCCATACTGCAGCTCGAACAGTAATGTTCTTTGGGTCTGTGAGAAATAAAGTCAATCTTCGTTTTACAAGGACTTCTGAAAAACTCACTCATGGGTCTCCATGCTCCGCGGCCTGACATTTTGAAGATGTGAAATTAGGATAATACCACTGAGTGGTGGCGATGGTACAAATGAGTGACTCTTTTTAAAAAAAACACAAAAATGAATGACGAAAGGAAAATCTGTCAGATAAGAAATTCTGCACCGCTAGATTTCAACTTGAGCAGATAGATAACCTGGCTTATGGCTTGAGGACTAGAAGACCTTGCTCACTATATACAGCTGTTGGTAAACCATAGTATCCATTGCTCCACCTCTGGTTGGACTTGATGTCCATGCTGTGCAATTGCTGTGCCTTCAATTGTTGACCATATTGACCGATAGATCACTGGATCTAGGTACACCTAAGAAACTTTTATGAATTCAAACAGGCACTGCGAACCACCAAGCAACCTACTAGGCCAATTCTTCAGTGAAAAGAATTGTTAGTACAGAACAGCACATAGTAACCGCGGCCTACAAACGGCAAGCGCTCAAGTCAAGGGTCGTGATGTTTTTGGTCGTTCATCAGACTGACATTGACCGATCACGTAATCAATCTAGTGCCCAGTACTCGAGCAGCTGCTAACAGTGCGCAGATTCATTCAATTTTGATTTTTGGGTCATGCTCAAGGTCGAATTGAGGCTCTTGTAAGCATTCAAACAAACTTCACTTTTCTATCTTGGGCCATCATTTTGTCGTAGGGTCTACAGAGAGGAATGATTTTGTGCTCCATGCATATCTCTCGTTTTCTTGTCCAAGATTTGGACGGAATCTCGAAGATCCATTTTGAGAGCTGGTTGGATCTTTTCAACCTTCTGCAACGAACCCTGTTTACGGAAAAAGCTCCCTCCGATTTGAGACGCAATGCAATTGCCTATTACAATTGATATATTTGTCTCTTCGCAGGAAACTGCGTTTGCATTTGATTAGACACCGGGTGTACGTTTGCTTCTTTACATTTGTTGGTAAGGTTACCTAGGTTGTACAAGTGTGGCTGCCAACAATAGTGGCGTTCGACGGTGGTCTAACCCAAAGAGGCCAAGTGCACTCTCAATGCTTGAAAGTTCATTGTAGGGCTGAAGTGTCGGTCTTATTTTGAGTTATTGGGTCGGCGATGAGGTTATCGCAGGCAAGCTTCTTTACATTCCTAATTAATAATTGATCGTTGGTGTTTCAAACGATCAGAAAGTCGATATGGAAGGATTTGGACCATAACGACCAATTTTGCACCCCATTTCTGACCATCCCCGAGGATCAAGATCGTTGAAACTTCGCAGACTGAGTAGTGAGTTAGCTTAGCTTTTGGAAATGAAGGAGGCCTAGAACTTTACACGAGAAGCATGAAAATTTCATTATGCATAGCCCGGCCAGTTGCCATTCTCGCGGCCGACTATGGTTCTTCAGAGGTCTTCTCTATCTACTGCTACGTATATTTGAAAGCTGGAATCTGCCAACTTTTCCTCACATCATCAAGCTAGAACGTCACATCTTTCTTAAACCAACATCTAAGAAATGAGTATTCCACTGTGAGCTCATGTCTACGAGGATGAACATGTGACAATCGATAATTATGCGAGGATAGATTCTGCCTGTTTCGGCGACGGTGGGCATGATTGGAGTTTTCATTCTTCCAAATTATCCCAATACCTTAAGCTATTCAAGTCTATCATCCATTCCCAGCGATCAATAAATTCTTGGATTTCAAAAATTAAGTCACAGCTGCAACAGCGTAAGGCCGAACAACAGTCTACAATGCTATTGCTCTAGATAATCTCATACAAGCCGAGAAAAGGGATCAAGTCATTGGTATGTTCTAATATATATGTAGTCGATTATTGGTTCACAAATGAGATTCACTAACAGCTTGTGATAAAATAGTGTTTCATTGAAACAATTTCTAACATCATACACACACTACACTTTCAACACGCTCGTTAAACTTTACTTATTTATAAAATTTCTGCAACAATGCTTGCATGCCATCGAATAAAACCACACAGCCAAAATCGTTCAAACACACAAATTACACTCGTTTCATCTCATTTCCTTTGTCAGTTTCTTTCTCAAATCCTTATCCCTACTTTGGTATAAGCTTCCTGGAGCCATGCACCAACAGACCTTCCACTTCACAGCATGTTACTATCGCACGCAGGATCTCTCGCTCCCAGATCTTGATGGAATCCTACACGAGGTCCTGTTTTGTCTCCAAAAATCCACTCCTCCACGTTCGGGAGCCATGTATACTGAGACGAGTCAAATCGCCTCTGTGGTCTTCTGAGCAGGCAGCTAGTAGGTTGAGATGAAACAGGGCTTGGATTGCTCTCTTTATTCTTGGTTTAGTGTTACGGAACCATTTACGAGCTTTATTAAAATGCTGTGAAGACAGATCTGGAGCATGTCGAATGGAGGCGAAGATGGGACGAATTAAAACAAGGGTAGAATTGTCACCTTCACATTGCTAGGTTAGGAGGGGCGTTCAGAAATAAAAGGTCAGGTCTTTACTTGGGAGTTTTTTTTTGGCGAGGGAAAATGATACAAGATAGGAGTACGGTTAACTTTGATAGCTTGATTGGAGCTAAAAATGCATAGTTCTAGTTCTTTACGAATACTTAAACTGCATGATTCTTTTGTTTAGCTCTTGTGAATTACCTTGATCTGAATCTCTAATCCCAATCAAGTGGTGATCTTGAGTGTTGTAATACTATAGCCAAGTGGCTGCTTTGCGAGCACTGAAAACTCTTTACTTCCACGACCTCCTGAGACCCGATATCTCAGGAGCTTAATCCCGGATATCGTATCTGTATGTACCCTTAAAATAGCCCTCTTGTGATTTATGATTTACTCCATTGAAATTCATGCCCAAGTTTCTTTACGTATACCAGTTCGGTTGTCATCCATCAGAAACAAACGCATGAAGAGGACGCCTGTTAGAGTCAAGATTGATGCCCAAGGTACACTCAAATCGTGCGTTGCCATCGATACAAATCGATACCATGAGACACTTGAGGGCAATGATCTGCATATTAAGAGTGAATTCGAATTATTGGGGGCGTATGCAAATATGATTGCAAAGTATCCATGTTCTGTGGTGGCTATCTTGTGCATTGATAGGTCTCAAGCTGGCAAAGTCTGAACGGAAATCTCACTCACAATTCTAGAAATTCAGATGTAATTCATGATCGAAGCTTCCATGAGCGCTCTTTTCTGGTAATTAATTCAATCCTATCAGTTTTCTAATTTTCTCTGCATGATAATTAAATATCGCACGACGACCCATCATAGGCCTTTGCGTAATGGTGATCTTGATTCCGAGACGCCTAAAAATACCTCGCCACCACTACCTAAAAGGTAAATAGGAAAATAAAGAGAAAGGGAAAACTCTTCTTTTCAGGTCAATTTTCGGGTCGCAGCTCCAAAATGAAGACTTCATATATGCACTAAAGCCCAGCTAGACCATAAAGCACAAACCCGACTCCCCATAGCAGATCCTTAGTCTTTTTGATGCGAGTAAATACAGCGAAATATGGATTATCCCTTTTCTTTGCCAAGCAAAAGCAAGCCTTACCACATTAATGGCACATTCGATTTTGAAGACCCCCTCATTTCGGACGAAGACCTTCAATTGTGGGGAGATTTGGGTTGTTCAGAATTAGCGAATTCCTCAAACTCATTTGCAGGCTCTTCGTCGCCTACTTGGGCACCGCAGTGGATGGCTGGGAGTGAACAATATCAGGAGCTCTCTGCCCCATCGTCTTTCAATCCCCATCCATCATTTTCGAGGGATTTTAATCCAGACATGGGACTTCCAAGTCTCTTGACATCGTTCCCACCGCCGCCTACCTCAACACCAGTCGCTAAGGAAAAAAATTATGGCTCTTTAGCGCGGATAAATACAGTACAGAACAACGGAAACCAAATATTCACTGCGAATAATTTGAGCGCGATGTATCCGATTTCGACGTCAAGAGAGTGGGATAATCGCTACAATACATCAGATTATCAAAGGACTGCGGAAAATGCGACACAAGATAACAACACAACATCTTGGCAATCTCAAATACTCAACAGCACAAATTCTTCGCCATATCAAAGTGGAGCTACAAATGGAGCATCACGAAGCGATACTGTCAGCACGCAATGGCAACCTCAAAGTTACAATTACGAAGCTCCCTCGTTTATAACATACAAGCCCAAACTCCCTTCACATCCAAGCTCACATACCCCTTCGCAAAAGCCCACGACGACAGAATACCCACCTCAATCTCAAAATTCCAGTGTCTCAGACTCAACATCCCAAGCTGAATCACACTGGAAACCCCCAAACCATCCTCTCGAAACCATCACTCCGTTCATAAACTCCACCCCCTTTGCCTCCACCCTAACAAACACCTTTCACTTTTTCCACTCTCACTCTCTCCTATACAAATCGGGCGTTACGCCTCATGAACTACAAATGCATCTTGCCGCTGGCTCCTGCGGCGTTACTATCCACGGCACTGTTTCCATTCCCGAAAACACCAACTGTTACCAAAATGGTACACTCGGCCTCATTATTTCTCAAGAAATGCCTCTTACTCCCCGTTTGTATTTGCCCACCCAGAGGAAGAAGATTTCCGAATCAATGCGTCAGGTTGTGTCGGAGTTGCATGAAAAGGGCATTGTCCATGGTGATATTTATTTTTCGAATTTTCTGCTCTGTGCTTCTGGAAATTCGACCGATCAGGTCAGTGTTAAATTGAGTAATTTTCACGATTCCCTCTTTATTTTGAGTTCCTCTTCTCAAGCTTCAATCGATCATGAAAAAGAAGAACAATGGACACCAATTCTCAACGGCAAGATAGTCTCTCCAAATCGAGCAAATGAGTGGATGAAAGGAAGAGATAGGAAAGCGACCAAAGAAGATGATCTGTACGCGTTGGGGATATGTATGTGGGAACTTTGGAGTGGGAAGAGGTACGATGAAACATGTGGGATTTGGGGAGATGTGAGGAGGGGTGACCTAAAAGGAAGAGGGGTAGATATGAAGGGGATTGGGGATAAGGGGGTTAGAGCATGGGTTAGGGCGTGGTTGAGAGGCGGGGGAGCAATTGTTTGATAGCTTGAATGTGATTTGAAAGCATAGTAGAATTCAATCACAGGGCCCCGTGTTGGAGCTGATTGCATTACATATTGTTTGGGGCTTTACCCTTGACAGCCCCAAAATCATGTGATGTGCAATATCTAGTTTCAGATTTATATTCATCATTCTCCGAAATTCACAAAAGGACCAATCTTCAACACTGAACCTAAATTTGACACATAACACACTTCTTGAACACAAAGCCCTATCATGAATCATGCGTTATTATTATCCAAATATTCGTCATTGAAACAACTCGACTACTTGACTATCTCAGAAACTGTCAGGAAGGAATTTCAAGGAGATTTAGCTATTGTTGTTGGGGCAGTGGAAGATAGAGACTAGTAAAATTGAGGCGCACAATAATTTTCACCTTTATGGAAGTTTCAATAAATTGCAAGAACTTCCATTTGCTTAAAAAAAATAGATCATTACCAGCCAGACTATTCACCATGTGCCTAGAGACCCGATCACTTGAATCATAAGTGGAGTAACCTCTTTGTCATGAAATATTTTCCTCTTTCACTGACGATATCATGTTCAAAAAATATCGTCAGGTAAAAATAGAGAATAAAATGGTAAAAATTCAATCTCTCCTAGGTAGCGCGTTCGGAGACCGGAACCAAACCAGACGTACTGAGTTATCAAGCAAACAAGTCTTCGGACATTAAGCAGAGGTCCCGTTTGAGGGGATGTGAAGAACCTAGTGCGCTACCACTAAGCCATCTGGACTATGTTTGTTGTTAGAGAAGCGAGTTTGTTTTGAATTATAATCAAGCGGGCCATGTTTGCTGTGTTTGCGCATAATTACATTTTGCGGTGAAAACGGAAAGATGAGATGAGAACAACATACGAGCTTTCATGGTTTCATAGTCTTCCAAAAGCGGTCCCGGTGGAAGAAGGATATCTAAGTCACTGAAGGGGATACACGGAAAAGACTGAAGCGCGGCTGAAAGTAAAGCTTCGATACTACGCAGAAACCATACGATATCCGTGATTGATTGGTATGTCGATATATTCAGGTTCAGGTAATCCATCAATTTTGTGACCGAAAGATCATCTCATCACGATGCTTCTATTCCTTGCTACTACCATGACGTTGTGCCATTCACACTTGTGATGCATATAAATATAAAGCTGATCTTTGCATCACAACCTTTATAGAGCAAGCTCATGACTGCGCTTGCTAGTAGATCTGAAGTTTCGGTTAAGTTGATGCTGTTTTGGACTGTACACACCCTCATGTAAGAAGCATGAAACAAATGAAGAGGGGTAGGAAACCAGCTGAAGGCGCATGTCCAATTGATGCATCAATTGCAAGGCCGTTGAAGGTTCACAGTTCGATCTCGCGGTGGAAGCGCGTCAATAGGCATACGCAATCCAAGTAAGCAGAAAATGGCATTATCAAATATTGATATGATGCAATGTAACCCAAGGATTCATGAAAAGTCTGGGAAGAAAAATCAACAGGGAGCAATACGGGGAAACCATTGAAGCGAAATCGAAGCGAACACCTCGGCATTTACGTTTAGAAATTAATCACCGATTCAGAACTTCAGATCAATAACTACCCACGGCCTTGGGAAATTTCATTTGTCCTGTTGGTAGAACCTAGGCCGATGATATCCTATGAATATTCGACATCAGATGTATCATCCATTGACATTTCAAATGAGCCTTGCTTACGGTTAATATAGCGGAGCAATTTAAGTGCTTATCGACAGGACGGGCCGCAGATAGTCTCTTGATACGGAGCATGGTGCATGGCACATTGTGACATCAAAAATCGAGTTTCCGCATCTTGTAGATGTCTGCCTACAGTGTAATATTTCGAATGAAATGGATAGGATGTGATCGAAAATGTTGTGACAAGGACTGAGGTACGAGAGGGTGTGGTGGAGCGTGGTGAAATGTGTGTGGGACCGTGGGTGGTTCGTGCCAAGTGAACGGAAGGCACCATCAATTTAAGATGCATGTGATCAACATCTCCTTCCAACAACAACAACAATACCAACAAGGATTTAGATTGTCTGAAACTTCTTATTGGTGATTCTACCGGCTTATCGAGGGGCTGGACATTTTCCACCTTCCTAACTGCCACCTCTGCATCTTTGCCTTTTACCATACTTGTTCATTTTTGTTGTGATGTTTTCTTTCTACCTGCATCTACTTAACAAAGCATGGCCCAGTTCTTGATTGGTATTCTCTACTTAGGCGTTGTATATTCTATCTCTGCGAGAACATAATCATTATCGAATGCTTCTTGTATGTTGTGTTGGTTTGTTATGGAACGAATAACCATTCTTCAAATGAATTCGAAGAGAGCTGCCACAACGGCGATCGCCTAGATCTTTTCCCCCAGAATGTTTTCTGAATTCTCAATACGATTTGCAGATCTGTTTACTTTTTTATGTCCTTCCGTGTCCCGCGTCCAATCAAATTATTCATCTAGGCGCAGCAAACTGCCGGTCAAGTGAAAAACGGCTCTTCGAGCCCTAATCATTGCCTCCTCCTTGGCCATCCTGATAGGCTTTTTATCTTTTCATGCATTCCGTATACTGGGGCCGTCCACACCCAATAAATCTTTAGTGAAGTAGTGCGCGCTTATGGCCACTTTATCCGCATCCAATGAGAGGATTATAAACTTTGGGGACGACCCGACAGTTTGGTTGAGTGCACTGATTAGGCTGTATGTCGTGGTGTCATCCCGCCGATCCTCGCAACAATACCTGCGACTTTTTTGCTTTCCGCATCAAAAGCCCCCAAGTCTCAGGTATACCTAGATCAATATGTGCAAGGTTCAATTGAAAATCATCCGCTTGTTTCTGATATATCTGATATATCTGATATATAGGTTGGTATGGTAGCACAGACCCAATTCTATATTTTTACGTTCTTTCTGTGGTGTTTCTACCAATCCGATATGTGAAATTGTATTCGGCGGATACAAGATTGAAATGCTGTGTTGGCTTATCTTCATTGATCTTGTGCTGCTAGTCTCATCTATGTCGTCTCCTGGAGAATTTGTCACTCCGAGTGCAGAGGCGACTCAGAATCCGATTTGGGTGACTGGGACTCAACAAATGTTATCATGGGAAACGAGTCTTAGAAACTACACAATCGCACTATGGAATCAAAATGCGGATGGAAATGGCTATTCCAAAGGTCCAGCCCTGTTAGGTAAGATGATTGCTTCCTCGTTGCTGCAACCATTGTCTCTTGCTAATGTTGATATCACAGAATCCTATGATGGAGACACATCACTGAACTGGACAGTTCAGACATATGCATTCTCATTATCTTTATCCCCTGTGTTTTACCTACTACTTGTAAGCATACCAAATTTATTCCCAAGACATTAGATCAGCATCTTCATCATTTGGGCATGGTATTTCGGGCACATTTGTTAGGGCAGGCCATGAAAAGCTTCATGCGAACAAATTAGGCGAGTCTAAAGAAAAGTTCTGTTTCCGTACATTTTCATGTTTCTACCATATCTGTCGTATTACATATCCCTTTACGCGTTTCAGTATGCTAAGTGGCAAGAATGCGCGAAAGCATGAAGTAACAGCATTTACTCCATGAAGTTTTCTGATCTGATATTCTTGATCGAATGTACCCACATTGAGCATACTGACAAATTTCCAGGAGCCCGGGACTCTCAACGATAACGGCAATATTACCTTATCAACCAGTCAATCTATCGTCTCGCATACTTTCAATATAACCTCCACGACACCGAGTACAGAAGGGGACAAGAAAGATCACAAACTGGGACTTATCCTCGCCTTATCCCTAACCATTCCATTCGTTCTTATATGCACCGCATTAGCTATCTATCTCATTCGCTCGAGACGACGACGACAACGCGCTCTTGAAACTCCACCCCACTATCAGTACCCCCATCATGTTGGATTTCGACGTCGGCAGAATCGGTTCTTCGCCACAAGCAGCTCCCCTACTGCATTTACTTTTCCGGATCAAGAAGATTCTCAAGATCGAAGGCGAAAAAGTAGCAAAAGCAGCAATAACGGCATTTACTTTCCACCTCCTCCGACCACTCCAAAGTCGCCTCTATCATTCGCATCTAGTCTCAAAAGCCTACGCGGTCTCAAAGGGAATACGATGAGTCCAGGTCAAAACACAATCAATAGTTATCGTTTCAGTCCAACGTATCCCCCAAGTCACCCTCGAGGCCCCAGCGAATATCATCAAAACAATCACATGTCACCTACATATTACCCTTTGCAAAGAATTCCATCACTTACCTCCACAGAGGCCGGGAACCCGCACATTCAACAAATGCAAGAGGCGCAAGAGGAGCTTTCTATCGAGCGTCAAAAACAAGGGCCACGGATGGCTTATCAGCCTCCAGAGATAAGTCCATACGACAAACCTCGAGTCGGACAAGATAACGAGGATCAGAAATGGGTCATTAAACCTTATATGCCACCGGAAATGCCAGCGTCTGTCAAAAAGAGATATCTTGAAGAGCAGGCCGAAGACAGAATTGCGAGAAGGAAATACAATTATGATCAGCCGGATGAACTGTGGTAGGGAGTAATGAACAGTGTTTGGGCTCAAAGACGATATGAGCTGCAGCACAGTTTCGCTTTCCGTCTTTATGGCAATTTTCACTTCTTCTGTATATAATTAAGGGCGCGATGGAGATTTGTTTCGGACATCGGAATATCTGTAGAGACGGAGAGGAGATACCCAGAGATGCAACGGCTAATCACGAAGCCATTATTTCGTAACCTATCATGTAATTCACCAAGAACAAATTCAATTCATCTGTTTCCCAGTCAGCTTAACCAATGAAAACCCAATTCTTGCAAAGACTAACGGATGACCAGTCAATACTACTTCACAACCACGTCGCGTCCAAACCCCTGTATCATTTGAACCGATTTCACGTTCCCTGCATACGTGGATTGAGGCACAGCAATGTGATAATACGACCTGACCCCACCAACTACCCATACTGTACCCCTTCACTATTGCACTACTGTGACACAGATGCAATTTAGCCGGATGCACTGGTGATTTTAACATCGTACGATGTTGGACTCGGAAAGCAGGGTTAAAACTGATTTCCCTACATGGGGTTTTACTACTGATTCAATTCGGCAATTGGTTGAAATGTTGAAACGCGTTAGAAGTATACTTAAATCCAGGATCTAGAATTCAGCTAAACAGCAAGTTACTGAATTTACATGCTGATGAATACTTCGAATCATATTGCTGGAATTACAAGGAAATTAATCCAACTTTTGGGGTTCGCTTATCGGGCTATCCAGACCTAAACTCATGGCTTAGAACACCCTAAATAATAGCCCGTCGTATGTCAAGTTTTCTGAGAAAATACAATCAGTTCTGATTTTATGGCTCATTCACCCATGACAGTAGGAACAATACTTGATTTAATCTGTACTGCTATCCTATCATGAGTAAGTATGAGATGAAGTGCAGCTATTTCGTCTTAGGAAGAGGTAGTGGTTGTGATATTGGTCCGTCACCTGGTCTCTTCGCAATAATATACTGCTGCATTTCTGGATCGCACCTTGGGTTGTCTGGTTGGAATAAATCGATTGTTTCGCTCCCAATCTCCAGACCCATCGATTAAAAAAAGTCCCTTTGGCCCTTCGCGCTCATCAGGAATGTTGGCAACGGCTCTCCCACGAGGGGGACATTGTAGTCCTCAACGTAGGTCCTAGTTTCATCATATGCGGACTCTTCTTTGACATGGTGATCTCCTGGCGACTGTCCCAGAACGATGATTTCCCCAGGTTGAAGCGCTCTGGCATATTTATACACTGCGGCGTGAACGGCAGCGTACGACATCTGGAGATGGGCAAAGATCATGAAGACCCCTGCAAGCGTTTCCTCCTCAACTTCGTACTCGGCCATGTCGGCTACGGAGAAGCTGCCCTCAACTCTAATTTGTGCAAGCTGCACCATTTTAGGAGAAATGTCGAAGCTGACGACATCTAGATCGGCTTTGTGAAACCGGAATTCCGGTTCCACAACTAACATCGAGGACCTTCGATCTTAAAGGGAGTATGGAGATGGCCTTTGTAACACAAGCGATTTTGAATTTGTTGTTTTGATAAGCCTTTTCATAATCAACGTTAATGCCCTCGAAAGTTTCAAGTCTCGCCTTAGAGCCTGCGTCTGTAGTCGCCATGGCTGGTATGTATCAGAAAGCAGTACTTTGAGTCCTATGAATGAATTGATAGATGGAAATCCAAAAAGCTTTTCGTCTATCAAAATGGAGATCCCGGTTCTTGCGTATCTAACTGGCGGTATCGGCTATCATAGGCTTGACGGCGCCTTTTGATGCTTTGGTTGGTCTCCATTGCTCTATTCATATGCGTGAGATATTCGATTCCTTCTGTTATATTGAACATCGACCAGTAAACACTCGCTACCGGTCGCCAACACTGATCAATATGCTAATATCCAAATTTTGTAGCCGAAGAAATCCAAGATGCATCTATCGCAATCCTCAGAGCTATTATGTGGTCTATTGCAACCAATGCAGCCATGACCTTCTTCATGATCCTTACCTTAATCTTTTGTATCGGGGACGTAGAAAGTATTCTCAATAGTAAACAGGAGAGCCATTTATCCAGTTATTTTACAACTCTACTCAGAGTAACACTGCTACGAATATCATGGTTACACTTTTGATTATTTTGCTTCTATCTTGCTGCGTCAGCGAGGTAGCCACTACATTCCGACAAATTTTGTCTTTTGCTTGAGATCAGGGTCTTCCCGCTTCCGGCTGGTTATCCAAGGTAATAATTCTCTCGCCATTGTTATGTGTCCGTTATCCTGATTATGAGATAGATTTCACCAGGTTCGAATATTCCTCTTCGAGCAGTATGCGTCTCGATTGTTGTGAGCTGCTTGCTATCTCTCATCAACCTGGGCTCCGCATTTGCGCTCAACTCTATCAGCTCGTGGTGTTGTCTCTATTCTCTCGTCTTACCATGTCACTATCAGTTGTCTTATTTGGAGACGCACACAAGAGCCATTCCCCAATCGCAGATGGTCTTCTGGAAAATATGGAATGGCTATCAATATTGGAGCACTGATATTCCTAACACCCTTTTGGTTCTTTGTTTTCTGGCCGCTTACTCTTCCAGTGACACTTGAGAACATGAATTGGTCTTCGGTAATGTTCATTGGTGCTTTTAGCATATCTCTCATTTACTACTATTTTAAAGCACGTCATGTACACAAAGGGCGTATGGTACTTGTCAAGAGGGATGAGTAGAGAGTTGGCATTCTCAAAAAATATGTGAGCATAAGATATAGATAATTGCCCAATCATAATGAATTTGCACAGCTTGAATTTTTCCCGTGACTTCTGCTCCTTTCAAACTTGCACCATCGGCTAAAGTACCTGAGCCACTGTCAATAGTCACTTCATATAGCAGATGAAAAGAAGGAAATTTTCGGCCGACTTAATATAACGTGATTTATCATCGAGTGAACCATATCATCGAGTGGGCCATCATTTTTACATACAAAATTCGTCTGTATATAACCATACACTTTCTTTATTTATTAATAGAATTTTTTAAAAATTAAAAATATGAAATTTAATTATATAAATATTACAAAAATCTCATTATTTATTAGAAATTCAAATTAATATAAGAATTATTATTAAGAATATTTTTTTATAATAAAAATCATAACAATTTTCACTTTTTTTAATATAAAATAAAAATATTAATATAAAAACTAGATTTTTAGAAAACTAATCTTTTATTATTATTTAATTTTTTTTTCTTTTTCTAAAATAATGATTAATTATTAAAATACGAATATTCAAAAAGCCTTAATTTTGGTGTATTTTGAAGTGGCCTACTCGATGATATGATTTATTTGATGATAAATCACGTTAAAGTATCTCGAAATAAACAATTATCCGACTGATTACACACTCAATTCTCACCTAGTGTATATAGTATTTATTGAGTATCTATTTTCTCTAAAAGAAATTGAATATTCAAAAGATTTGAAAGATTTGAAAGATTTCAAACATTTCAAACATTAAACAATAAATAATCCAAAATATTATATCAAACTCCAGGGATCAAATCAAATAAACTCAACTCATCAAGCTAAACACCACAAATTCGAATTCTCTCTCCCACACAAACATTCCAAAACAAAGATTGATTAAATTCTATTATATAACATTAAAACTCATATTCACCCTCCCCCCTCTACCCCTTCAATTTTCAATCCCCGATATCTCTCATGATATCGAGAAGCTAGCGATGTAATGGTGCTTATATATAAAAGAAATCTGCGCAGTCATAAATAGATTTGTCATACATTTTCTTACCTAGAACACTCACATGCTCTCTGTGGATAAATAATATGAATGAGCTTTCTCGTAATTTCCAGAGATTGTAAATAAGTGTGATAGATTTAAAAGATTCAAAGGTTGATATTTACTAGTTATGTTACTAGCTCCGTTATGATATTCTTCTCAACTCCGAACAAACCCCCCAAAAGAGTATCTCTCAACTCCACTTCCCCCACATCCCATTCCCTCCCTCTCCCCCAAAACCACCAACCATATCAAAAAAAAATCAAAAAAGAAATTCTCTCAGGCGTGAGTCGAACACGTCCAGTTTACCCAACCTTCCACCCCGCCAATCCTTCATTTACTTCAACATCCTCTCATCCTTGCCACCCTTTTGAAAAGGCCACTTCCACTCTCGAATATGAATTGGATCAATTCCATTCTCAAACGCCTCTCTCCTCGCTTCAATCTGCATATTTAAAAGTTTCTCCCTAATATGCGCGCCCTTGTTGCCCAATCTCTCTATGCTATCTACCGCATGCAGCGCCAAACTATATCGATCGGTTTTATTCCTAATAGCCAATTCTAATGGCGTATCAATGTTACCCTTTTCATTGTATCCATGGACATGGATATTGCTTTGGCCAGGACGCTTATAGGTAAGTCTGTGAACGAGCCAAGGATAAGAGTGGAAGTTGAAGATGATGGGCTTATTATCTGTGAAAATCGAAATCCAATCTTGATCCGTGATACCGTGAGGGTGATCACCATGATGGATCAACTTGAAAAGATCGACCACATTAACGAAGCGGATTTTCAAATCTGGAATGAGTTCTCGAAGAAGTGCGGTAGCAGCTAGAGATTCATGGGTGGGTACATCTCCGCAAGTGGCCATGACAACATCAGGTTCGAAACCTTGGTCATTAGAAGCCCAGTCCCATATTCCGAGACCCTTCTCACAATGAGTGAGAGCATCTTCCATGTTGAGGTATTGAAGATGATCTTGTTTGTCGGCGACAATGACATTGACGTAGTTGGTGCTACGGAGACAGTGGTCCATACATGAGAGAAGACAATTTCCATCGGGTGGGAGGTAGATTCGTACAACTTCAGGACTCTTGTTGGCGACAACGTCGAGGAATCCGGGATCTTGATGGGTGAAACCATTGTGGTCCTATAACATCGAACAGTTAGTAATTGTCTATCACGAAAAGCTGTTGAAAGGCTCTTGAGCCAGAGAAAGATAAAATTATACACAAGAGAAGCAAGAATCCAGATGAGGATTGGGATTCAGAAACAAAGGAAAGAAAAAGGAAAGAAAAAAATAAAAATGACAATTGCTTACCTGTCTCCAAACGGTGGCTGTCAAGAGGATATTGAGAGACGCCATCTTTACACGCCATTCGACTTCATTGCACTTTTCAATCCATTTGCAATGTTGATTGACCATGGAATCGATAACATGAATGAACGGTTCATAGCTGTTGAGTAAACCATGACGACCAGACAAGATATATCCCTCCAACCAACCTTCAACAGTATGCTCACTGAGCATTTCCATGACACGGCCTTCAGTAGCAAGATTTCCACCATCAGCATCTTCTTCGAAGTTTTCGCCCATCCAAACCTTTTTGCCCGCCTTGTAAACCTCACCAAGTTTATTCGATTCGGTTTCATCAGGTCCAAAGAGACGGAAGTTATGCATGTTGCTGGCAACTACATCGCGTAGAAGCTTTGCCATGTTGGCCATGCTGGGAAGATTGCTGACACCTGCTTCGACATTTTCGAATGCGTATTTGCGGAAATCGGGCATATCGAGTGGTCTTCTAAGGATACCACCATTACCGACAGGATTGGCACTCATACGAGCATTGCCGACAGGAGCCAATTCCTTCAACTCGGGAAGTAATTTACCCTCCTTATTGAAAACCTCTTCAGGTTTATAGCTGCGCATCCAAGACTCCAAAAGTTTCAAATGTTCTGGATTGCTTGCAACGTTGGGAAGTGGGATTTGATGTGCACGCCAGAAGCCTTCGAGTAATTTGTCATCGACCTTTCTTGGGCCAGTCCAACCTTTAGGACTGCGAAGAACAATCATGGGCCAGCGTGGTCGGACTGCTTTGCCGGATTCACGTGCTTCCTTTTGGTACTTGCGGATCTCGACCACACAACGCTCGAGGGTTCCTGCCATAGCTTGATGCATACTCTCGAGATCACTGCCCTCGACAAAGTATGGTGTCCATCCATAACCAACGAACAAAGCTTCCAACTCCTTATGACTGATTCGAGCAAGGATTGTAGGGTTGTTGATCTTGTAACCATTGAGATGCAAAACTGGTAGAACAGCACCATCTGTAATTGGATTGAGGAATTTGGTTGAATGCCATGCTGTGGCTAATGGACCAGTCTCTGCCTCACCATCACCAACCATGGTCAAGGTGATTAAGTCTGGATTATCAAAGACGGTACCGAAGGCGTGTGAAATGGAGTATCCAAGCTCTCCTCCCTCATGAATACTACCTGGTGTTTCTGGAGTCGCATGACTACCAATTCCACCAGGGAAAGAGAATTGCTTGAAGAACTTTCGCATACCCTCCTCATCTTCTGCCTTGTCAGGGTAAACTTCAGAGTAAGTACCCTCCAGATAAGCATTTGAAAGGACAGCAGGAGCTCCATGACCTGGACCAGAGATAAACAATGCATTCAAGTCATACTTTTTGATCAGTCGATTCATATGAAGATATGTGAAAGCTTGACCAGCATCGGAACCCCAATGTCCCAAAAGTCGAGCTTTGAGATGCTCTTTCTTGAGTGGTTCCTTGAGTAAAGCATTTTCTCGAAGGTAGAGCATGCCCAGG